TTCTGAGAGTTAGTTTTAGTTTATTGGGGGCCAAAACTTTATACAATCACGTACAAAAGAGAAATTTCTTCAAGCAGTTTATTTTGTGTGATTTTTCTTGGGACTCTTTGCACTTGGTCGTGGACCATTACTAGCTACTGCTCTTCCAAGAGCTTTATGTTTGCTGTTTAATATACTATGATTCAGAAAACTGCTTTGGCAAGAGATTTTCCTTAGGAAAAGGATGTATTTTGTATCTGTTTCTACCAGTTGTATTTCTAAAGTGAAGCCAACTTTTCAACATTAATTTCCTTCTAGATAAAATGTGAGCTAGCTAGCTGGGTGGCCCCTAGCCTTGGGTGCAGGTAGCATGACACATGAGTAATCTTGATGACTTTACTGGGTCTGCTGCCAGGAGTGGGGCTTGGCAAAATAAAGCCCTCTTGCCTTAAGTCTCTTATCTTTATGACAAACAGCCCCACATTTTCCAAAAAGGCAACAGCAGTTAAATCAATATATGATTTTTTTTGTATATTCCTGCAGTTTGCATATGTGCACAGAGTAATTTTATGTCTTAGATGCTGGAGTGCAGGACTGCTAGTTGGAAGGGTCTTGCCAGGCTGGAGAAATGGGCCGATAGGAACCTCCTGGATTCCAATGCAGTCTTCCCTCTGGGATGGGTTAGCCCCGTGTTGCAGCAACAGCTGCTGGTGACTTGATTACCTGGGCGGCTGTGGGATGGAGAACCTCTGTTCTTGGAGATCATAAAACTTGCCTGGACAAAGCTAAAAGTGAGTTAGATGTTGCCATGTGCAAATATTTCAGAGTTTGTGGACAAATGTAGCTGCGTACACACTTTACAGTCATGCTCATGACACCTTTGGTCAATACTCAGCCCGAAGACTACAGATGTTTCTGTAACAGCTTCCAGGAGCTTTTCAGCTCTTAAGGAGGAGGGCAGGCAGAAATCAGATGCAGCCAGTGAAAAGTAGAAAAAGTTTCAGGAAAGATTGATCCAAGTTTCTAGTTTTTGCTTAGTGCTCGCTATACCCTCATTCCTGTTCAAAATTATTTGCTAAAGGCAAGAAAATCTCTCACTTTCAGCTTGAAAATGAAACCTGTAAGGAAAGCAGTCCTGAAGTACAGAATGATGCCACATCCAAACATCCTTGTGTGTTTTGCAGGATTTCGGTGGTGTTAATATCCTTCATTACTTTCACACTATGTAATGAATCATGTATAATCCTGAGCGGAAAACAAACAATTTTTCATGATGATTAAGAATCTATTATTAGGGTGTAATTTTTGAGTGGTGTTGGCATCCTTCAATACTAAGCAGTTAGTATTCATTTGAATTAAAAATATGAAACAGGAGGAATTTGGAAGAGCAGACATAATTTGTCAGTGTATGTATGTACACTTATAAATGCTTTAGTGGCAGTAAAGGGAGACATTAAAACACATGAAGGTTGTTCCTGTATGAGAGGTATCAGCAATATCTTCTGATCAGAAAGGAAATCCAATAGTCAAGTATCCGTAGTATTAGATTCGTTTAGGGATTTCAACAACAAAGCTGGCTGCCTCCAGCTCATCAGTGATGATTTCAGTTTTCTTAAGGCTTTTTTTTGTTTTGTTTTAAGCCAGTCATGTTCAGCACAGTGTCTCCCCTTAGTTGTTCACCAAAGACCATTTTTCCTGTCGTAAGATTTCACATAAAACTTGTTTTTTACAAACTGTCCGCTGCAGCTGTAAAAATGTTAATGTGAGACTTGCTACTCAGCAGAGTGATTGCTGCCAATTTAGTTTTTATATAAATTTCAAAATAGTTAGGGAATTTCTCTGCAGTAGAATTATGGGCAGTTAATTTTCTTCAAACATCCTGGAGGAGATCTTTATCATTCTGGTTCTGATGAATGCATCAGTGTGGGAATATCTTGATGCCTACCCTTGATTCATCAACTATGCTTAATCTTCTGTCTTCCGTTGGAAACCAGGGAACCAGTAAAAAGCCAGGCTCTCTGTAACGAGGTAATTCTGAGTGCAAGAGTAAAACTTCACAAGTGACTAAAATTGAGAAACCTGCTGACCATGGGTGGCCCTTTGAGGTCCCCTTGAGCAGACCCTGCCTATGGCTGCAAAGCAGGGCTTGCAAGTGCACATGGACAAGTGTTCCCTGATGATGTGCTTAAGCTCTCCAGGTTTGTTTTGCTGGTAAATTAATGCAGGTGAGGACCAGATTTTGTAACAGAAGAGGCTGCTTTGAACCATGGCTTGGTTTGAACTTCTGGAGGAGCATGGCTAGGAGCTCGCGCTCATCTGAGCAGTTTATCAAGAAGGTTATTCTCCTGCTTCACAAACAAATGGAGCATAACCTCCTGGCCTCAAATTTAGTATTAACCTTCCTTTAAAATGAGATTCTCTTCTCAGTTCCCAGAGGCATTAGCATGAGACAGTGTTGCCTTGCAAGGCAACAATGCAGAAAAGTAATTTAATTAGACAAACTTGAGGCGTTTCCTTTGAATGGAGCTGGAAAACATCATAGTGACACTTGTTCATGGTACGGGGCGTCATAGCTCCTCAGTGATGGCCACAGCGCGTTTGCTTTTCCACAGTGAAGCACTTTGTGAATCCCTGCAGAGAGCGAAGGAAGGAGCAAAGGGGGAGAGCACTAAGAGGAGGAGGAAACCGGGTTATTAGAACTAGAGAGATCATCGTAAGTTTCTTTTTGCCTTTAGGGAGCACCTTAAATGGCACACTTTGAAAGGGAAAAAAATAAATATATATATAAAACGCCTAGGTAAGAGTTGGTTCCTATTTCCAAAAATCATATTTAACTTTTTCTGCAACTGATGACTTTTGTTGGCCTGCCTGCTGTCTTGTGGGGTTAAGCCAGCTGGAGCTTTCATGCAGCTGAAAAATTGCATTTGACCTTTGTTGTTGTCTTAAAATTAGCTAAACCCTGTAGGTCACCACAAGCTGTTAGTACATTTGTATGTGTATGTCTATGTTTTTTTAAAAAAAAAAAAAAAAGTGTGTTTGGGTGTAGTAAATTTCTGCTTTAACTATAACTAAGTGTCATAGGGCATTTAAAGTCAAAGCAGTTAACACAATTCGGGTTTTTCCCCAGTTTTGAAGCCCCAGTAGCTGTATGGGTTATATGTTTATGGTGCCAATATCAACATCTGGGTATGGACATGCAAATTGCTGCAGAATAATTGAGCCTGTTAATTTACAGCATGTGAGTTGGTGATCAGTGCCCACATGGGTCCAATTACCCACACAACTCAAGGCAGCGCAGCCTGCTTTCATTAACAGGTACCTGCCTTGAAACACCTCATATTTATTGCACTGAGGCATCTGTAATGCTCTGAGGAGCTTGTTTGTTTGTCTTTAGTATTAGTTAAATATTTTTGTGCAACAGAGAATAAATGATTACTTGGGAAATTATGAAACAAGGGGAAATAAAAAGGCATTTGGAAACGTTTTTTCCTGGAGGAGATACCCGTTGGCTCTATCCCCTCATGCAGGGATTAACTGCTGGTCAGTTCTGAGCCCCCCGGACAGTTTGGACTCCCCTGTGACCTGCCTGTCCCTGGGGTGACAAAGGTGCCGCTCCTCGGACCGGCGCGTTGACGGGGACAGAGCCTCCGGTGACCCCTTTCAGCGTGAGACTGGATAAAGGGGATCAGACAGTCTGTCACGGGCGCGCTCTAAATAAGACCCGTTAAACTGCTGTTGGTAGCAAAAAAGAAGATTTGAGGCTATGTAGGGTCTCGGATTAGTTAGGTCCAAGAAAAGTTGTCTCCTTATTCTGGATTAGGATTTAGGTTGTCACCTAAAGCTAATTAAATAAAACCCAACAGTCTCTTAAGCAGATCACACCAGAGTTATAGGGCAGAATTACAGGAGAGGTTTTGGCACATCCCGTGACCCCTGTCGCCTGCGTGTCCTTCTTTAAGAAGGATCTTCTGTCCCCATCATGGGCCAGGTTTGCAGGTTACCTGATGCATTCTTGGAGTGAGTTGTTTTCAATGGTCTGTAACTGACCAATTTTAACCCTTAGGTTTGAAATATTGCTTAGTGAGCACATACCTCAGGCACTACAATTTGGGAGAATTTGCCCGTTTCCAAAATATGATCCTCCTTTTGTTTGCTGCCTCTGTTTTCCCTCCTTAGGGAGTTTGTCTTCCCAATCTTCCTCCTGCTGCCTTGAGGCACAGGCAGGAGTTTAAAGAGAAGTGGAGGGTCCTGTGTGATCGCCTAGGTCCAGCGCTGAGGCGTCAGGAGATACTGCAGGATGCTCAGCAGCAGGATTGCAGGCGGCAGCACTGTGGGAATTGTGCTGCCAGCTGATCAGAAGGGCTTAATGCGGTATTTTCGGGTGCATCTGCATTAGCTTTTTTTACATCCTGGTGACTTTTTTCTTCTGCTTTGAGGTTCAGAGGAACTCAGGATTTCACAGTGAAGCTCAGTGGCCATCACCACTTTTCTATTTCTGTTTTCTATTTCTGCAATACACATGCAGAAATTCTAATTTTTGTGCAATTCTGCTTTATGCCATAACTATATGGTGGTCTGCCTGGCCTTGGAGTCAGCCAAAGAGCTTGGGATAGATCAGGTCTCCAAGCCTGAGTTTTGGGTTTATAGCAAGAGCCACAATCTGGCAGCGTAAGCACTTGGTGCTGTCAGCTGCCCTTTCCCAGGAAAAGTGTCTCCCTGGGGCAACAAATTAAATGAGAAAGTGGGACAGGAGGGATTTTTAACATGAGACCACAAGACTGTGTGACCAACCATACGCTGAGTGCCTGGGGATGGATAACCCCAATATGCTCTTTCCTATCCTGGGTCTGAAAGGGGAAGACACCTCCTCTTAATCTTCAGCTGTTCTCCAGGTCTCACTTTGTGGTGCTGCTCCGTACCTAAAAACGGTTTGGAAGCTGATTGTGTAGGAAAAAATGTCAAAAAATATGTTTCATCACAGCAACACAGAAAGCTGATGCAGAGCCAGTGATCAGCTATAAATATGTAATGTTTTGTGAATTGTTAGTAAACTATTTGCAGTTTGGAGTGTGATGAGTCTTAGTTTGGCAGTACGCAGTTGGTTTGTTACCCAAACATTCCAAAATCGTGGCATTTTTCATTGTCACTTTCCTGTTTGTTATTTATATTAATAGCTTTTACATAAAGCTTTCTATTCCCAAAATGTTAGAGCATTTTAGAAGCAAAGGTAAGTCTCATTATACTTGAAATTGTGACAGAAGGAGGGGAAGTGACTTTATCGTAGTGACACCAAGTCAGTAGCAGGAGTGGAAATAGCTCCATGTTTCCCATCTCTGGGTCAGTGTCTGTTCCTCAAACACAAACAGCTGCAGGAAAGAAGCGTAGGAGAAAGAACTCGGTGAAAATGAAAGCACAAGTATTTTATACACTGAGAAAATAAGCTAAGAGATCATATAAATCTAATTATGTATTTTTCTTTTTTTTCCCTTTTGGATGTTTTCTTCATCTGACTGGCTGCCAACATTTAGAAGAAATGCGTATTCCTACTCCTATTACTTGTAAGTACCTGGCTGTGGATGATGATTCCTGAGCATGCTGACTGTTGTAACCTGTGCTTTCTTGTATGCTTTTCTTTTACCATTTTTTAAACCATTCCATGTATCCTTGTCTTTCTAGCAGCTTGCACTTTATTTTCTCACTTCACACCTATTATATTTTCCCTCTTTCACCCTTAGACCTAACACTGTGCCTGCAGACACCTGTGCAAATGGGCATAGACATGTCAGTTGGCATCTATAGTCCCTCACATGCTAATGGACAAATGCAAGCAGTCCCACTTGCACCATTTTTGGTTGTCTAGCATATTTAGCCAGACTGCAGGGAGATTCACACCTAAAATCTATTGTCAGGAATTTCTCAGCCTTGGATATAAGCTTTTTTTTAGAAACATAAGGTTTCTGAATACTATTGATGCTCTTTTGTTACCCAGGAACTAGGGAGTCACCATTTTCTCAGCTAGTGTCTCTGTTCCCCGAGCTGCCAGGTCCAGAGCTGTTCAGACCAAAATCACCCCTCTAACCTTATCTAATGATGATGCTGCATAATTAGGGCAATCATTAAGGCACATGCAAATGCTTTACAGATGACACCTTCAGAGCCAGCTGTTGTCTGAAGTTTGAGGGGCTGGAAACAAATCAGGGCCAGGCTGTTCCTGTGGTAGTGGTAGTTGTCAGGAGATTGGGAGGAGACTTGAGTTGACTTGTTTTCCATGTGAGTTGGTTTGAACCTTAACAACAGGGTGAAGGACTTCAGTGTCAGTCTCCCTGTTTACCTGTTGGTGTGACTTCTTGAAGTGGCAGATCAGAAAATATTAGAAAGAGGCACCTCTTCCACTTGTTATCTGTGCAGAGAGCCCATCTGTGCAGCGTCTGAAGCCCACGCTAGTGAGACTTGACTCTGCTTGGCTGTATAAGAGTAAGTGCAGATTAACGCCCATTTCTCTAGGCTTTACATTAATTCTCCAAGAATTGGCTTTGACCATAAAAATTTAGAATGATTTCCTTGAGAGTTCAATTAAGTGTTAAACTCGTGAGCAGTTTGAACCTCAAGGTGCTTTTCTTGCTCCCAGTTCTCCTGTGCGTTTCCCATGGATGTCACACCGCTGCTGTCTGGGTGTTGCACTGTTTTTCTTTTCTTATAACCCATGAGGGCCGTTGTCTGTACAACTCAGTCCCCAGCCTTCTGTTACGATTTTCTCTTCTTCCTACGGGCAGTATGTGGTCAGATTGTTCCTGGCTTATTAAATCTTGAGTTTCATGTGTTTAAAAACCATGAATCAAATTGTGAGGCCTGTCTGGCCCTGTTTTACAACAGAGCCACAGTGCTGCTTTAAGCAGCCAGCTGAGGATTGCTCTGCTACGGAGAAAGTGAGGACGTGGTGAAGCCATCTCTTTGCTGCCTTGCAGTGGATCACATAGGCTAGACTTCTTCAGGGATCAGGAGAGTGACACAAGAAGAGTGAGGAAATAACCTTCTGGGGATCCCCCAAGCCTGAGACCGTAGAGTGGTGGCTGTACAGATCCAGTAAGGTGGATGTGCATCATGCAGTATATCACAGCAGGTAGAAATCAGAGGTGCCTCAGGCTGTAGAAACCTGTAACTATTTCAACAGCCCCCCAGCCTTTCTGCACATCGGTCATTAGCAGTTCTGTGCTCATGACATTCCTGGTATCCCACCTCGCATGGGCTCTGGGACATCACTCCAGGAGAGGTAACACCTAAAGAGTCATCAGATGATTCCAGCAACGTCAAGCTCTGCCTGTCCTGTTTGATTGCTGTTCCAAGCTTGGCCTAATCCACAATTTGGCAAAAACAAGTGCACTCTCTCTCTTTTTTTATTTTTTTTTCCTCCCCTCCTCTGAACAACAATCTAGGTATGAAGGACACTCGTGAATGAAAAAAGCAGGAGAATTCAACAAGGAACAGATGACTAAAGAAAATCTAGTTTCACGTTTCAAATTCCATGTAAAATGGGATGTTTTACTGTGATTGCAGATGCAAATCTTAAATTGCTAAGGATTGTTATCTTAGGCGAAGCTGATAGAAATTGCCAGAGCCTCTTATGAACAGAAAGAGGTTTGATTTAAGTTTATTTGAAGTGTTGTGAAAATAAGAGCAGCAATATGTATATTGCAGGATTTTTTTTAATAGAATTGGTTTCCATGCTCTGACCTCATATGAATGTTTTAGTCCTGAAGCAAATTTGAATTGAATGAGTTATCAGTATTGAAAAGCAGGTTCTCAAATAGTTCTGCTGGCAGAACTTTAAATACAACCATAAGGACTTCATTGCTTTATTTTTAGCTTCAATTTCTGGACTCCAAAGTTGTGCTGCTTGGAGAAATTCTTTTCTGCTTTGCGATAATTCCTCTTAACCCTTTCTCACCTACTTTGCTGTCATTTTTTCTCTTGTTAGGGAGCAAAATCACTTGCATTATGTTGCTCTCCAGGAGACTGATTCTGTAAGTCAGTAGAGTATCTGTAATGTCAGAGAAAGCAATTAACAAAAGCAAAGAACTTATAAATAAGAGAAGCTCCTCTTCGTTCTACTTTGTGCTTACTGAGTGAACAACATAGGATTTTTGTATGGCAGTGCTTCGTTACAATTTGCCTGTGGGAAGGGATATTATGGTAGTTAAGATTTTTAGCACAGATTAAGTGGGAATACAAACCCAGGAAGCTTTTTTTCTGAACTTGGTCAACATGTAGGGTCGACATCATCTTGTGTGCCTCGGTTTACCTTCATTAAGCTAATTGCAGAGGTTTTCACAGACCTTGCTTTACCTGGGGCAGGACTTGCTTTACCAGCGCAGGATGTGCCAGTTAAATCCCCCTGTCTCTGAGGAGAGAAGAAAATGAGGGATCTTGATGCACCAATGACATCACCAACACCAGGATGGTGCTGGAAACTACTCAGAGGAGTTAATCTGTATTCATGCTGAGATTTTACCTGATTTCTACAGAACTGCTAGCTGTTTCACACTGCATGTAAGTTTAATATGTTGTAAGAGGCACTTCGGTGTTGTGTTGTTGAAACTACAGGCCATAACATTGCAGCATGTGCAGTATGACCTAAGAATGCCCGAGATGACAAAAAATTCTTATGGCTTAGCTGAAACTAAAGCAGAGAAGGCAGTATATATGCTTTAAAGTAGGCTTTGCATTTAATCACAGGCATCTCATATTTTTAGTATCTTTTTCATTGCAGAGTTCTTGTCAATGCTTTATTATTTCCTCGTAAGGTGAGAACTGGGAATGTTGGCATTGTTTTCTTTTCTATTATTACTTTATTTTTAATCTTTTTGCTGATCTGTATTAGAGAGGTATTGTGTTAGAGAATGACATTTGCTGAGTGATATCAGACCAGAGGAGAAATCCATCTGGCGATAGCTGGACTCATGGATGTATTACAAGCACTCAGTTTAGTGGTGTTTCTGAGAAAAGGACTCTCAATAGCAAATACGTTGCTTTCCCTTATTCCTGTTCTGGTGAGAGTGCTGAGGGGCCTGTTGCGATGTATGAAGCACCTGCAACTCCCACTATAATTTAATGCAAATTGGAACAGTTGCAGAAGTTTGAACCAGGAGTTTCTCTTAATGAGAGAGATTCTGTCAAAGGCATTAGGCTAAATGCCTTTTTTTAAAAAATAGCAGAATTTATATGCTAAATTTATTTCCAGCTTTTTGAGGGGCATTTGAAAAGAAATATCAATTTCATTTATGATTGTAATTCTTTGTAAACACATGCCTGCAACAATATATCAATATATTTCTTTAGAAAGCAGGATCTGCCTGTGCAGGTCAACTTTTAAATCAAAATTTTAGGAAGAAACTGTTTATTATTATTATTATTATTATTATCTGCTGGAGGAACAGAATAATGAATCAGTGGTTATGCCAGGCTAATGAAGGTGCCCCTGGCCCCCCCCAAAAAAATCCAGGCAGTATGTGAGGATTTTATTTAGAACATGTCCTTGTGGTAACTGTTAGCCTAGGCTTTGAAGAGGGGTGAATCCCTTGGTGAATCTCCCTGTACGAGTATATTCTTCTGCTGTGCGTCTCTTGTGTGGACTCAACTGTTCCAGTGTTGGTACCATTGCAGGTAAAGATCCTTCACAGATAAAAGAATTGATATTTTTCCCAAGGAAGCATTGGAGTCCCCCATCCTGTGCTCATACGCTCCCTAAAAGATATTCCTGTGGTCGCAGTACTTTTCCAGGTGTTTGAAGACTGTTTGGTCTTGGTACCTTTTGGCACAAGTGTGACTTGAAGGGCTGTATTGCAGAAGTGGGCACCAGTACTACTGGAGAGACCTTCCCAATCCCGAACTGGAGCAAAAGGATAACTCTGCAGCTCATGGTGCAGTGTCTAGTTATTACCTTTTATTACACCAACATGGAGCTATTCCTCCAAGTGACGCCTCTAATCTGACATCGAGATAGGGGAGATTCTCTTTGCAAAACCACTGTTTAACCAGTGCTCCCTGTTGTGCATTGTGTGGCCTGCCTTAAATTTGTGCAGATTTCCCAGGAAAGAGCAAACCACCTTCTGGCAGGCTACTCCGCACAAATACCTAGTAGGAATTGTGTAGCCTTCCTAAACTGCTTATTGCAAATCATGACACTAAGCAATTTTTGTCTGTAGGAGGAAATTTCATGTTTAACTTGCAGGATCTATACCTAATGTCTAAATTACCTGTGCATGCAAATCCACATTATGGTATATATAATCCATCCTTGTGAGACATCTAAAATTAAATCTGTCAACGTACACGTACAGGAGCTCCTTAGGAGTGGCAGTTTGAGATTTAACATTCTTGCTTGTAAAAATGACACAAAGTTGGAGAAGTGTTTGAAGCTGTTTTTAAAATAAATTCTTGCAGTTTTTCCAAACCACTGCAAAATTGGAATCTGATCTAGGAAGCACTTAAAAATGAAAGTATTGCTTGAAATTTCTGATTTATCGCTGTAGTAGCAAGTGCTTTCTAGTTGATAGAGTCCTTGACAGTTATACTGGAAATGCTGCAATTCCTATGTGATGTTTTAGCAGCTTACAGTTTTTCCTTGAAAGGAAGAGAGGTTTCAAAAACAACTAAATCAAATGTCATTTTTTGACCAAAATTGGCACTTAATTTAGACTCACTGCTCCTAGTCCCTGTCCTTTAGCTCGGCCAACTCCCCCATCGTGCCATAGTTGCATTTTTATCCCCCTTCAAGCCCCTCTGTCTCATCGTTCCCGTGTGGAAAGTGCCTCTCCGCGTCTGCGTTTATGAACCCTCCCTACTGAGCCAAAAAGGGCAACCCAGGAACGTCCATCGCGGATTCGTGTTGTCCTTTTGGCACATTTCCTGTGCACTTCAGTGTAAAGCAGCCATTAATCTCACCCTGTTGACATGTTGACATTTCAATCTCGCCATCGCGTCTGGACTGTATCAGCCTCTTCTTCCGAGTCTCCCCCGCTCCTGTGTTTCTTCCCCTTTTCCCACTCCATAATGCATGAGGCATCTCCGGGCCGGTGACAGGCCGGCGGGGAGCCCCGGCCCGGCGAGCCCTCGGGGCGCCCTGTTTTTGGAAACGGCCTTTTCAGAGAGACGCTTTTCCCGTTGCAGAGACATCTTGATGGGCCGGCAAGGAAAGCTCTGCCTCGCTGGGGGTTTAACCTCTATCCCTAGTGCCACTCATTTGATTTTATGATCCTTCCTATGAACTGTAATGCCGGTAAGGACTGAAGAGGCTTAGTCCTTTGCTGCCGCTCCAAGACAGCCTCAGAAAAGGCATGTTTAGAAAGTGCGAGGCCCTCGGCGTGTTGGCGAGCGGAGCGTGGAGGCCCTGCGGACGGAGCCGTGTTCCCGAGGGCCCCGTGAGCGGGAGGAAGGCGGCGGTGCCCGGGAGAAGCTCACGGCTCCCACGCGCTGGTGCCGCCAGCGGCGGTGAGGGAGCACGAGAACTTTAAACTCATGTCACCTTTTCTTTTTAGGCATTCAAGCCAGTGTTTTAGGGGCCTCTCTGTCTTCTACAGGACCAGGTAGAACTGCTTTGCACAGGGCTTTTCCTTTTTTGTGTTTTATTTATTTATTTTCTTCTTGTGAGCAGGCCTTGGGGGAACTGGTCTTGGGTTCTGGGGGATATTTGTCTGCACAGAGTGTGAAGAGTGTGTTACTGGGAAAAATGAGCTTGCCCTGTAGTGCTTTGGTGTTTCTGGAAAAAGATACTGAGCCTGGGCACTTGGAGGAGGTTATTGCCATGGATAACTTGGTCGGGATTTCCTCAGGAGCTCTCTCCGTGCTTCAATGTATTGGCATCTCAGCAGTGTGGACTGCGCAGGCTCCCCTGGCACACTGGAGTGCTTGTCGTTAAAGACATCTGCATTTCAAATTAGTGTTTCCCACTAAGAAAGTTTTAATTCCTGTTTGCAAAGATTCCATGTAGCCATGTATGATTAGCAAACCTAAAGGATTAAAGTAAGTGCAGGCCAGAGTTAAGGTACTCTCAGGCTATTGCTTATACGAACAGGCATGGGGCAGTGGGCTTGCTTGGCTCTGTCTCGTGATAAATAAACCAAACTGCACTCGCATTGCTGTGTATGGAAAGTAAAGCTTGTAGTTTCCTTAAATGCCAGTATTTTGCTTCATCATGCAAGACCTGTTCCACCCTTGGCATCTTCTCCACCTGCAGAAGTGGATGCACCATGGAGATTTAGCAAGATTGTGAGGTCCAAGCATGCCAAGCACCCTGTAGTTATGTCCCCAAGGGGAACAGCTGTGGCTTTGACTTCAAACCGCTTTTTGGTATCTCCAGGTTCTTGCCTGGTTGAGCAGATGAGATAGATGCATTTGTTTGGTAGTTTGCAGAAGCTGTTGGAATTTCTCTATAAATTTATGCTCCCCTGCTCTGGATCATGCAGCTTGCCTTAAATAGTAGTTTCCCCCAGATGCAGACCGAAGTTTGGGTCCACTTTGACCCCTCCTTGCAAATGGATGCAGCTGGCTGGGCTGATCCATCTCACCAGGGGTTGGAGCTTGCTGAATGTGCTCAGAAATGCCAGCTGGCATCTGCAGTGAGCAAATAGAGCTTGTTGAACGGTCTTGCAAGGAATATCCTTTCAAGAATCCAATGAAGTTTAAAATATGGGTAGTACTTACCATAAGCGTGTCACTTCAGTGAAGGAAAACCTCTTTGCAAAAAGATTTAGTATTTAGTTGTTAGGATTTTTTTTCTTTCTTTTTGACTTGTGGGGGAGGAAGAGAACTAAAGCTCCTACTTACAATGATCTGTTTTTCTCCCTTTTATTTTGTTTTATTTTCTTATCTGTGGAAGCCATGTAAGCAAAGTTTCTGCCAGTGCTAGGGATTTGTATGGTATTTTTTCAAGGTGCGTGTTGGAGAATGTCACACATTCATTTTTAAACAGTTTTGTGCTCCGATATGAATGAAGTACAGGGCAGTCAAATGTCAGAGGAAGCTTAGCAGCTGGCTCTTCCTGCTTCTCTCCATTTTCTTATTAGCTGTGTTTGCAAAAGAGCTGCTTATACATTTAGCTTTGTTAGTGTTTTCAGAACTGGCAGCATTTCAGCTCTTGCCAATGTTTTTGGTATCTCCTCAGAATAAGAAAAGATACATTCTGCCAAACTAGATCTATCTGGGCACCTTTTTCAAGTGTTTTCAGCCTTTAATTTTGCCCTGCTCTTCCCTGACTCTGGTTCTAGTGGAGGCTGCTGTCCTGGTTCCTCTGCTTGGGGACAGGAGAAACATCCAACTCGGGGCTGCAGTTCTCCTGTTTCACTAGAGCACTGGGTGAACAACCCAGCCTGAGTGCAGGTGTCCCCAAGGGGTGGGTGCCAACATCCTGTTGGCAACTCTAACCACTGTCCTCATCCAGTGCCTGCTGGACATTCCGGAGTGGCTTCCAGAAATCCGTGCCTGTCCCTGGGGATGTTGTGGCCCCCCTTGCTGCTTGGGCCACGCAGGGTTGAGATGCAGTGTTGCAGGGACAGCTCAGCTTGGGGTCCCATAGTGCCACCATGATGCTTATGGCTCTTCACGATTAGAGGGTCAAGCCCTGGGTTTTCTTCTTGTACGACTTGCATGTAGCAGTCTGTCCTAGTCCCTGCATGTCAGTCCCAGTGGGTTAACTGCATGTGTGTGTTTTGTTTTGTTTTTAAAATATATATATCTTTGTTGTTGTTGTTAACAAGGGAAACTGACCTTGCTTTCTCCCCTCTTCAAAATGCCGTAAAGGAAGCTAGCGAAGAAGCAGAAGGAGACTCAGACCAGCACACAGAGGGAGATGGGTCCTGTGGCTACTTCAGACAAGACTTCTACCAAACTCAGTGCTGTTCACAACGAAGAAGCTTTTTCTTCCAGCTGCCAAGATGTTAATGGATTCAGTAAGTTTAACTTGCTTGCAATGGATATATCCCCCTTAGGGAGCTGCAGGGTCTTCAAAGGACCTATTCCTATTGAGTCACAATATTGAAGAGTTAGGGAAGACCATGGTAGACTTTGTTGCAAAAACTCACTAGAAATCCATCTGAAATATCTCTGATACTGCCCTTATTTTAACTGACAGAAATGCCTGCTGATTCTCAGTCTGCTGAGAATAATTTATAAAATCTGTTTTGGTAATTACATCAGACAATAAAAAAGGCACATATTTATTTGTTCCTCAAAGTCAAATCAAATCACTTAACTACCCTCTACAACAATGAAATGACATTTTCTGTACCAAACTGTTGTGAAAGAAAGCATGGTCTCATGGCTAGGACACGGCAGTGGGAGGAAGGGCAGCATTGTTTCTGCAGTGTCTTCAGTTTGTTCTTCGTAGGAGTTCAATAAAATAATCCTAGTTAATGTTTGCAGCCCCTCAGCTCTCTGTGGATGGAAAAGTATTGTGGGCAAAGCAGCACAAAGATGTACTGTAGTCAACCAGGTCCCAGACTGAGAGCATGTAAACGTCTTCGTATTAAATACATCTGAACTTAGACATGATGATAATGCCAGTCTCCCTTTTGACAGTTAGCTTTAGTTTGAAAGAGGGCTAGGTCTGAAACACAAGTGTGTACCAAAACTCTCTTGTCTGTCTTGAACATCTCCAAAGTGTTTTTTTCCTAAATACTAACAAAACGCTTGTGATTTAAAAAAAAAAAAAAAAGTATCATTGAAACCTTTCTTTGTAATCTCAGATAGAGCAAGACAGGCTGAGTGAGTCTTCCTTACACCCCTGTGTGTAGGTCACGCCGAGTTCCACCTGCATAGATTGCTGCTGTCACTCTGTGTAGCCTACCTGCTAGATGGATAAATAGGTGCTCGGGATCTTCAAGGCGAGCAGTGAAGACTTGTCTCTGATTTTAAATTGACTTGAGTCAAGATCTAGTTCTCGCAGGTGCTGAGTAGCTGTATCTCCTAAAGAAGACAGCAGGACTTGTCAGTGGTTCATATCTTCGAAAGACGAGATAGCAGAAGACAGTGTTGTTACAAGCATCCTCGAAATAGCAAACGGTAGCTCGGGTTAAAAGTGGGGGGATTTGAAGTTCTTAGCATGTCCTTCAGACTCTGAGGTTTTTAAAACTTACTTCCAACCAGAAAAAAACCTATATTATGCCCCCATCATATTTTTTCTCATTTTGAGAGACTGATTAAAACAGATGAGTTGTTTACTTGAAATGGCAGCTATAGAAAATACTTTTTGCAAAGCAAGTTACAAAATATCCTGCCACATTTCTTCAGCTCTCTGCTTGTTTGACATCATTGCAGATTTTGCCAGTACCTCCCTATGTGACGCAGCCTATTGTAAATCACAGGCTGTTCTGAAATATATATATATATATACACACATACATATATAAATACGAGCAATAATTACCAGTAAGTCTTCATGATTTCTCCACATTTTTTCTGCCAAGTCCAGGATGCTGATGTGGCAGAGGTAAGTTCTGTTCTGTGCAGCAATGTGCACATGCTGATATAGGAATGGGTTTAGCACTGATGATACAAATAGAAGAAAAGGGAAGAACCCCCCCTTTTTTTAAATAAGTAAGTCTAAATGGAATTTCCTGCTTAAGAATTTCTGTAGGAAACTTTTTAAACTTTCAAATAGTGTAAGGCGGATTACTTTGTCACCTTTCTGCTAACTAATATGATTTTACAGGGTAAATCAACTCTTTCCTAAAAGACAGCCAAGTTCCTTCTTAAATTTTCTTCTACCATACACACACAAACATATGTGGTAGATAGTCATCCTCTCCTTCTGGAGCTCAGTTATGGGAGCTTGAGATAGCTGGAGCTGTGACATGGAGACACCCCTTCTTGAAGGGAGTCCACCAACAGCTACTGAGTGCTTTGAATCCTAAAATTACTTCTTTAGGGTCACAAAAGCAAAATCGAGCAAAGGGAACTTGTAAAGTAGGAAAACTCCCAAACTGTTGAATTGAATAGAAGACTTGCAGACATATTCCTCTCCTGGTAAGCGTCCTTGCAGGATATGTGTCCTTTTCTCCATTTTTTTTTTTTCTTCCTGTCCCCCTCTTTTTAATGATGCTTGACAGAGAACAAATTCCAAGACCCTCTCTAAGGGCCTTTTTCCTCCTTATCTCTCCAGCTTGGCCAGTGCTCTACTCTTGTTGCTGTTCTCGGGTGATTCCCGGTCTCCTGCCGTAGACTCCCTGCTTATGGGGATGTCTGCTCCAAAGGGAGGAGCAGGGGTCCTCTCGTCAGGGTGTCCCAAGGGCACCAGGAGACAGCGGCTCCCTTCTCACCCCCATCTCTTCAGAAAGAATGCAAAAAGGGTTGGGTTTATACAGTCAGCTGGAAAAAGCATGTGGTGCAGGAATGGTAATTCTTTTGCCATTGAGAATTACCGTCCTCTTGCCTTTATGATTAGTAAAAAATATATATTTCTTCATCTTCTCCATCTTGGTGCTTTTTATTTTTTCCCTGTAAGCTGATGCAAATAGTGTGAGCCATAAAGTCAGGGTGGCAGGGTGAAATGGGGCTCTTTGCAGAGGGCTGCTGTGCTGCACCAGTAGCACAGGATTGAATTTTATCATTTGGCAGAGATGTTTGTTATCAAATGTAATTATGTTCCAGGAAGATCTGTAACCTCTGGGCTGGAACAGGGAGCTCAGGTTTTGCTGAAAATTACCGCAGAAATGGGCATTTATCTTTTTTGGCCCAAAGCAAGGCTCCTTACCCCTTTTTTCCTCCCACATTAATAGTCCTTATTCAGGCAGAATTCATACTGATGTTATCAAGGTTACCAGAGAGGTTTTATGGAACTGACCTGTGTCTCTGACACCATATGGCAGCAGGGATAAATATTTGCTGAAAGATGAGCTATTCCAGCTTGTTAAGTTTTATCCAGAGGTAATGTGGAGATGAAGCAGGCTCATTGTAGTCTGTCTATTTTCCCCTATGTTTTTGGTAGTATTTTTAATACAATAATGGTATAAACCCTGTAAAGGTAAAGGGTGATATTTGCAGTACTTGAGATAGCTCCTTAGTTTGTAAGAACTTCTGGAAAATGCTCATTTTCCTCAGTGTGGCAAAGTCCCATTTAGACATGGGCTCATGCAGGATTATTATGAAACAAGGTGACAGATATGCAGCAGGGTGAGCCTCAAATTGTCCACATACTTTGACCAGAAGGGTGCACAAGGAGTTGTTATTGCCCATAAATTCTGTGTAATTTGGCATCCTGTCGATGTGATGGCAGAAGCAGCAGTTTGTCATTTCCCCCAGTGATGCACTAATGATCTGCCCTGTGCCCAGGGACTGCTCTTCCAGCTTTGCAATGATAAAATGCCACCCACAGGGCTATAGATAATACAGGCCAAGCCAGGCTTGTCCAAGGAGAATGCTACATCACCAGCAGAGCCATCTCAACATCCCTGTGGACTTGCTGGCAGGTACTCTTTGATTTCCAGCTCATGATCTCTTATGCAGCTATTTTTTGCTAGAGACTGATGTATTATGGCATCCATAACTTTTGTGACATCTTAGTTTGGGAGAAGACTTTTCCAGACTTTTGAAGGAATGAGGTTGAGGCAGATTAGGTCAGTAGCCTTAATGATACAGGTAGAAGGCCATTAATTAAAAAAAAAATCCAAAATATACAACTAGTTATAAAGCCAAATGTCAAAAGTGTAGAAGGAAACAAAGGTGTGGTTTCTTTATGTCAAAATACAAGAGCACCTTTACTGTTTTTCATGGCAGTTTGTTTTCTTTTGTGGGGGCCTGGGGGAAGAGTTGTTTTTGGTGTTTACAAAGTTCTATAAAAGTCAGGAGAAGACCATCTTTGGTCCTATCTTTGAGATAGGAGTGGACCATCATACTCCATGACTGGAGGGACCTGTATGGCCTCATGTGCTGCTCTTTAGAGGTGGAGCCGCTTTTGAATGAAGCAATGATCCCTATTCAGGAATGAAGTCCAGTGGGCAGTGGTTTCCCACAACAGGTGCAGAAGACCCCCTGGATAGGTGACTGCTGTGAACACAGCTCTGTGCTTGTGCAAGCCCCTACCTGATGGGTTTTGCAAACACGCTCTTCAGAAATGCCCTTTCAAAGCTCTGTTAACTACTCAGACTGCTCAGTGCCCAGGCAAACAAATGACTTTTTTCTTTTTTTCTTTTTTTTTTTTTGACCTTATCTTACACTCTTTAAAAGTAGTCAGGCTTCTGGTGTAGTAAGAGGAGGGTTGGATTTGGGCTGGTGCACGGAGGAGAGAAAGGGGAGGAGGCCCCAGGTGGGAGATGGTCTGTGGTGCAGTACTTCTGCAGACCGGGCTGTGAGGCAGCTGATGGTCTTAACAGGGTTGCAAATAGTCTCAGTCTTGAAAACAGAGCAGGAAAATACAGTGTTCAAGTGAATTCATTTGCTGGATGCGTGTAAATAGCTTAGGAGGGAACACTGCAGACTTCATAAACTCCCCACATTAGTGACTACTTCATTTTATAGAATAACTAAAGGTTTGAAAGTGATGTTTACTTTAGAAATGCAGGAATTGCTTCTGAAATTGCTTTGCATACTGAGTTTTATCTACTTCTATTGGATTACAGAGTAGTTATTCCTCTGTTATCTATTGTCATCTTTCTGATGTGCTGAGATTTTGTTAGCTTGTTTCCCATCATTTTGAGAAGGGAGATAAGCAGTGTTTGCAACTCTTAAGAATGAACACAGAGGGACAACAAAAGAATGTGATTTTAGTAATGACATATTACCATAAAAATGTGTGTGCATGCTGTCCTGTATATAAACCAACTTCATAAATTTATTGTCAAGAAAATAGACAAATTCTGTAGCTGTATAGAATTGATCCTTGCCTCTTTTGCATGTTTATTTGATTAATTTGGAAACTACTACTGTATCCTTGACCAGAGAAATAGGAGAGCAGGGATGCTTGACCTGCTCAAAGAACCTATCTCAGAGGAGAGAGAATTATAGGAATGATGATGAACAGTTTTTAGGTGAAGAACAAGTCCCTTATTACCTTAAATCATGGTGCTAAGAAAAAATATACTGTCTTACCTATATACTTGTGAACAACTGCAAAATATGCATCTAAAATATTTTTGTGATACTAGTGTACATTGTATTTGAGCAGGATTACTTTGCTGTTAATACTGCATTTACTTGTTTGTGTTTTGTTTTTTTTAAGGATCTTTCTCTGAAAGCCAAAAACATAAGTTTATTCCTTTGGTTTAAAAAAAAAAAATGGATATATATAGTCCTACACATTGATTTAAAATAACCATAATACAGTGTTTGGGGTGTGGAATGCTTATATTAAAGGGAATCCATCATGATGACACTGTAATAAATGTAATATGCATGTTGAGATGAAAAATATAATTCACTGTGATAAGCCTTATATATGCAATATTACTGTGTTCTTTGAGGAACATTCTCCCTGATCTTCCTCTCTCTTAATATATGTCTAAAGTCTTTTCCTTATGTCTTTCCTACCTAGCATCACCCTCTCCTTGTTCATTTTCTGTCCAAAGCAAAACCCTTCAGAGCAAATCTTTGTTGAATTCCTACTACTCAGGTACTAGTGCCAGACTTTTATTTCATTCCTTAATTTTCTTTGCTTTTATGCATTTCCCAATATGACATATAGACTGAGTCTCCTGAGTGTTAGATACCGCTAACCTTGTTTTCATTTTTTGTAACTTTTTTCCTATTGATCTTCTGTTGATTTCCATTGATCCGTGTCGTGTTGGTGAACGGAATTTCATCTCAAAGTCTCATCAGACACTGTTCCATCGACCACGCTGCTAGGTAAGAAGACAGGTATGGTGTGCTGCACTTCATTGCAGAGAAAACCCACTCCCTGCGCCTCAAAAATGCCTCAGAGAACACAGTTAACTGGCTGGGCTCCAAAGTCATTATTTATCTCGTGTTCAAGTACTGTATTAATTCAAAGACCTTTTGCAGGATTTTCTTTAGTAGTATTCTAGCTTTATCATTATTATGGTGATGATGGTATGTCTTTTTTCAATTTTAGAGAAGAACTGTTTCATTATTTCTTTCTGTGAATGGGATTTGACATTCCAAGCGAAATTGCCCCATGTTCTCTTGCCTTCTGCTTAGTTTTGGCTTGTGGCAGTGATGGTACCTGCTCGTGAAGCTCAGCCCTGTGTGCCTTAGGGCTTGCAAATGGGACTGAGGATTTGCATGTTCAAAGCAGGTGGGAGCTGACTTCTTTTGGGCTCTGTAAATAGAAAGATCATATGGAGAAATCAGGGTTTTAGCAAGTGACTCCACCTCATTTTATGTAAGCTGTGAATTAAATGCTAAATATTCAAGCAATCAAGTATAGATTTGAGAGGCTAATAAAACAGTAGCTCAGAGAGTTGTAGGCTGTCCTGTGGCTGCCAGTAACTTTAAAGACAGATGATAGTGTTGAACATTTCTGACAACCAGCCCCTTATGTTCAGGTGGTGAAGTGAAGCACCCAGGACGTACCTCTTAGCTTTTGGCGCTTTAAAAATAATGTGCTCAGGGTTAAGAGAGATGGCAAAACTGCCAGAAACTGCAAATCAGTGAAAAGTTACTCAGATCTGAGATAGCCACTCGAAGGGGAGTAGCGGCAGCGTATGAGCTGCTCTCGCTGGGGACGCGATGCCACCCATCCCTGGGGCCTGCGGGCAGCGATCCCTCCACGGAGCCTCCGGAGGGTGAGGGTGGCTCATCGGGATCTCACCGGGGACTTTAGGAGACCTGTCATGTTGGATTGCCTGCAATAGCTGCTCATTCCAGGCACACTAATGGGCCGGGCCTGTTTTGAGCATTGCTCGGTGCGCGTTGATGGCCCAGGGTTAGCACGGGAAGAAATCGTAGCCCATCACTCGGGTAACTTCTTGCCTTGCAGACTCGGGCAGGGACAGGATACAGACATTGATCCAGCCAGCTATCGAAATACCAACAGGAATAAATGAGCCCTTTCTCCCAGAAGGTTTGCTCTTGTTTTCCCAGAGACTCAGTGTTGTCAAGAGAAAAGTCTGAAGGTAGATTGATATTTTGGTTATAGCCCCTTTTGAAATAGTGCTCAGACCTGCAGCTAGCTGGAAGGTGTCCAGCTGGAGGTGTCCTTACTCTGAGGGACAACGAGCCATCTGGAGATACAACCTATGCCTCCCACAGCGTAGAGCAAACTCCCTAAGGCCCATAAAGCTTTCAAAATAGCAAATTTTAGGGGTGGGAGGAGGGGGAGAGGAATCTGGAATTAGTCTGTACTGATGGATTCAAAACTCTTTCAAATTTGATACCTGCTAAGCACCGTCTCTGGGGTGCATAAGGATTAATATCCCTGTTTTGCACATGGGAAGTCAAGCACAGAGCACTTTTAAGACATGATTTACACAGACAGGTCATTTTCCTGGTTCCACCCGAGCTGAACAGCCCAAAGGGCCATGGAGCAGCCCTGAGCTTTGAGCAAATTTCTGGCCTGTGACTTGGACAAATGAGAGCTGGAAACAGCTGTTCTGACTTGTCAGACAGATTCACAAGACTTTGGAAGATGCTGTTTAATTAGCAAGATCAGCAAATAGACAAAATAAGTTTCAAAGTTGACCGATAATCATTTCTAGGAAGTAGAGAGATGTTAGGAAGGGCCTCAGTCATCCCACCACCGTTACCAGGCTCTACCTGCAGTTCAGCAGTGTTTGCTCCCTTGCATGATGCCTGTTGCTAATAAATGTTCTGTGTTTGCAATGACAGATGGCTCAAGGCTAGGCTGTTGCCTGGTTTGTTGATAGTAAGATACAGGGATGTTTGTTTTGTTTTCTTGGGGGCCTCTGCCCCATCCTGTGCTTGGTTAATACTTTTCTGTATAGTGCATCTTTTTAACTGTGTCATTTTGTTTGGATTTAAATGTTTTGCACAGGTTTCTAAGCTAGGAAAACAAATACTTAATAACAACAAAGGAAGTAGGTTTTTCTACTTTCAATATCACAGTAAGAACCATTTTATACAAGTAATGTTATAGGAGGTAGTGCAGACTTTAGAGGATGTCCTTGGAGGAAATGTGCATGGCCAGGAGCTCTAGAAGATGTTGAGCAAATGCCATCAGGGCAGGCTTTTTGAAGGAAGGAGGATGTCCTTCACTTCATCCATTAACACCATCTGATTGCTGGGCACATCACCTAAACATCATCGTTCCACCTTTAAGGGGGTTTCTTCTTTGCTATCTGGTGAATATGTATGTGTGTGTGTATATAACTGGTGTTTTTTATGAGATTGGAGTGCACGTCTGTAAGCTGATTTCCAAGTTGGTCTTTAAAAATCTCTTAAATCTAGAGGAAAAATTCTCCAGCATTTTTTTTTTTTTTTCAAATCATGCCCATGCAGCTTCTTCAGAGCATTCCAAATGAAAGATGTATCCTCCGCTTTGTCAAGTGTGGTGTCAGGCTTTTTCCTGAGGAATGTGCCTTGTGTAGCTGAATTGGTATTTTTAGACAAATGATGGTTTAACTCGGCTTTGCCATATGACTGTTTGTAATGTGTATACCGTATTACTGTAGAGCTGGATATTTATCATACAATAAAGCCTTGATGCGCACATAAAAGCAAATTAATCTTACCAAGTACCACTGTATCCCTAGTGTAATGGGAAGAGATATTTGCCATGCTGCAGCCATCCTTGGAAGATGCCAAATAATTGACAACCCTTACTCTAGTAGAGCAGAGATTGGATATGTGTGTAATTAAATCCATCACAAACACCATGCAGTATAATTTATTTTGTGCAAAGGATGTCTTATCGTGTTACACACTTGCCAAGGCTAAGAGAATAAAAGTATAAGCAGAGATGATAGGCCTGTCATTACATTGAAGCAAAAGTTTGGAAAAAAAGACTGTATTCAAGCTCACGCATCAGTGCAGCATTGCTTTAGTTGTTTGAGGCATAGATTAGTTTTTGGTTTTTTTTCCGAACAGCAAATCAAAATCTGAGTGTATGTGTAGATATCTATCTCTGACCAACAAAACTGTTTATGAAACAAGATAATGCTCATGAAAGGATCTAAATTTTCCATCTCGAATGCTGCTCAGGGTGAGCAGGTCCCTTCCCAGCAGTGTAACGGGTACATTGCCTGGCGCTCTGACCATACACAGCAAATGCTGCCCTGCAAATCTAATTTCTCATCTGTTTTTTCATCATCTCCGTGACATGTATGGAGGAGTTTATCAGCTTTTCTCGGGAGGCAGATGCATGTATTTTCCTCGTCTGGACAGCAAGGAAAGTATATAATGAAAGGTGGTGTAGCAGCAGGCAGGCAATAATATCCCGCCCTCGGGTTACTCATCAGCAGGAGAAGATGCCATCATCCATCCTCGGCTGGAGCTTCTCTCAGCACCCCCTGCTCTGCTGCGCTTCTCCTGGCAGCGCTGGACCTCACGGGCTGCTCCAGTAACTTTATCTCTCCAAAAAGGAGAGAACCACTGAGTGCAATTTCATAAGCAGGGAGAGCTTGTGGGAAATTATGGTGTAGCCAATGTTTCTTTGAATTTGACTGTGTACACTTGCAGCCCCAAAGTGATAACGTGAGACGCTGGAAGAGTTCCGCAATCAAGCTAGTTATAAGGGAGCCAGTGAGTGGGTGTTTGTCTTTGTTTTTTATATGCCTTTAGTAGTACTTGAGGACATTGTGTGAACTGACAGGCTCATCATGAAAGTGCTGTCTTCCAGAAGCCAAAACATTTGCTTTGGTGATGGGTATCTTGAGATGGGGAGCGAGAGTGTGACATCAAAAGTGTTACCAAACAAGCCAGCAGAATATTTTTCTGCTGCAGCTGCTAATACTGGAAATGATCCTACTGCACACAGCTTGGTCCCAGCAGCGTACCAGATACCTGTTTTATTTACAGCTACTCCAGAAGAACTTGGGATAACTGGAGATGCTTTTAAGAGGGACCTGGAGCTCAGAAGAGTGTGCCCTAGTGAGACCTCAAGCTCTCTCCATTGATTTACTTTATCAAAGAGAGAAACTGAGGAAGTGATTTGATCAGTACCTGCACGGAACAAGATTTCAAACATTCAAGGGGCGTTTTAATCTAGTTGAGAGAAGGTGGAATAAGATTTAGTGCTCGGAAGCTGAAGCTAAACAGAGTCAGCTTGCAATTAAGACAGACTCAACTGCACAAGTTGGGAGGTTGGGATGGAATCACCATCATGGAAGTTGTTTCAATGTGGAGATGTTTCTCAAAATCGCGTTCTGCCTTTGGTATTCAGTGAAATTTCGTGCCTTAGGATCCCAGCAGAACAAGCCCGTATGACTAAACATAAGGTGTGGGTGTGAAATGCAATCCAAAATGTGTTGCATGGTTTTCTGTTCTTACTAGTTAGAGGGCTATTGAATTATTTCCAAAAATACCTGTTTTCATAATTGTTTTTTTTTTCTTTCTCACTGGAAACTTTCATAAGAGTTTCTTTAGAGGTACTGTCAAAAGTTTAGGCTCATTTGATCTATAGGCTTATCCATATTTGCAAGAAAAGGAGGGGATGCTTGTTAGCGGGGGGATGGAGAGAGGGGTGTGGAAAATTAACTGTGACTCACAAAGTGCAACAATTAAAACAAATGTCTGATTTTGCTGAGGGGCTGCTGCTTTTGTTGCCTTTCCAGTAATAAAAGTGCCAGAAGAAGCAAAATGCGTTTTACGGCTGCAAGCGGCAGGAGAAGCGAAGCCTGTTTGTAAGCCCTCCAAGGGCTCTTTGGGTTGATGCTCCCAGGGAGAGATCCCTTTGCGGCTCCCTCGCCTCCTACCCTGTGTTTTGGATCATTCATGGAGTTACTGCAAAGGTCCCTCTGCAGGTGCCCATGAGGTGCCTTGCTCCAGGGCCTCGTTAACCGCGTGTAGGTTCATGCTCACGCCGTGGTTAGACAGAGATGCCGCGATACGTCTCTTGCGTCGGGTTTTATTAGCAAAACGTATGAGCGCGCGGCTCACCTTGTACACAGCAATCTGTCTCCATAAAAGTCCCTCTCGTTTTCTCTTGGCCCAGATAAAAAGTTTGCGGTGAGACTTGTCAGCGGCCCAAGGTGGTGCAAGTGCCAAGCTTGGGGTTTGGGGGACAGGCAGGACACGTTTGTCATAGAAACCCAGAGGAGGTGATAGTCTTCATTTCAGACCTCAGCGTGTTTTGGGGTTGAGCATAGAATGACCTGTGTTGTGTGAAGCTTTTTCTTTTTTTTTCTTTTTTTTTTTCTTTTTTATTTTTCTAAGCAGAAATCCCCAGAAAGCAAAGCAAAGAAGCTATTTTACAAGGGAGAGAGGGATGCACTTCTCCCTTTCACCTCTCCCTGTGAAATCACTGAAGGACAGGAGCCAAACAGGCCAGAATTAACAGATGTGATGAAGAGAGAAATTAATAATTTGCCAGTGAAGGGGGTGACTGATCTGAGCTGCACTGCTGGGCAGCCTGTGCTCTGTGTGTGCCCTCTCTGTATTAATGCTAGAACCATACATTAGTTTTAAGACTCCCTCTCGGATAGAAGAGCATAATGTTTTTTAATTGGGGCTGATAAAAAATGTGGCATTGCATGTAGGTTCCTCAGAGAAGCCAGTTGTGAAATTGGGTTTGTATTAAACCTAATGATGGAAAATTAAGCATAGTACGTCTGTCGGAAATGGCCCGCGATAAAATCTTCTCTTTTCCATTACAGGAGGCTAATAGGGAATAAGGGAGGAGAGATGCACTGGGAAAGCGAATCCAACTAGGGGAATTAATAAGCCTTGAAATTCCCTCTGTTCAGAGTTCTCACACTGTCATTAGTCAGAGCATTAGGGGTGATTATACAAATGCTTTGAACGTTACTCTTCCTTAAATTCCAAATTTATTCCCATTTTGTATGCAAGGGTTGCTTTGCCAGGGCCACAACTCTGTAAACCCAGAAGTGTGAATATGTTGAAGAACCTGAGCTTCAAAAATACGTTTATCCCTTCTGAAACATGGTTGCAGGGTTGCTGGCATGGGACGGTGTTTAGGTTCTTGGCTTTTACAGTAAATCTGCCATAACAATTGAGCCAGCCGTAAGCAACCTTTATGTTTTTCAACAGTTGGAAGAAGGTATCTTTTATTCTTGCTTATCTGCTGTTACTTGTTAAGACCAGAAAGCCCTGATGCAGAAGGTCGTTCTCTGCCAGGGAGTCTGTGTATTTCCAATACCCATAATAGTAAGAAAAGGCAATGGTTCATTTGGGAAACCACCAGAATTGAGGCAACTGTGGTAGATAAGAAGCTAAACCTTGCATTTAATCTGAGTTACGTTAAAAATAAATGTTGTAACAGTCAAATGTTTGTTGATTTTAATTCTTTGCCACTAGTCAGTTCTTTAGGGATATTGTGTTGTATATCCAGAGTTTTATTAGGGATATAGGAAGCTGCAATTTCCATCTATATAGTGATAGAACTTTTTAAATCTGTTTCTATGGAACTTTCTGTTGTAAGTATACCATTTGGAAATTTAAGTTTCTGCATGCAAGGTAACTATATTTTCTGTGCTATTTTATTCATGCTGCTAATGCTATATGTTTAGGATTGATGTGTAAGTTTTAGGCCTAAACTTGCAGATCATTTTCATTTGCCTAACGTGCCTGTTTAAAGTGCTAGTAATATGTTCTCTGTTAACTGGGCCCCTCTCCGTTAGCTCCTGTTGTACCCCCTGAATCTTGACTATCGCTCATCTGTCCATGCTGCTCAGTAATGTTCTTGGCAGGTTTGTGGTGAAAGGTATGGAACTGCAGCAGAGTTCCTGTGCAGAGCACTCAGTTATGATACGTGCTGTTTTTCTATGTATGCTATATGATTATATTTGTTATGTTCTCATCTCTTTGGTGTTTGCCTACTTGGCACAAAAAATACTGTCTGTGATACAGCTTTTCTAGGCTATAGGCACGTGTGCTTTTTTCTTTACCTTCTTTTGCCTGTGTTGGCCCATGGGGGGTGGGAAAACAAAATAGAGTGGAAATAAAAGATAGGCGAAAGCGTGTTTTCCCTCCCTATCTTTGAAACAGACAGTAGCCACGGAGAGATGACCCAACCGACCCTGACCATCCAGACGCACCCGTACCGGAGCTGCGAGCCCGTGGAGATGTCCTACCCCCGGGGACAGTTCCAGCCGGCCATCCGCGTGGCCGACCTGCTGCAGCACATCACCCAGATGAAGCGAGGCCAGGGCTACGGCTTCAAGGAGGAGTATGAGGTGAGAGGAGCACCCGCTAAGGGGACAGGTTGGACTCGTGACTAAGGCTACATGCTCAGCAGAGGAGGATAACAGGTTTTTCTTAATTTGTTTGCTGTCTTAATCATTCTTTCATCTTATTTCTGTTTATAAGGCTGGTATTTCATAGCAGGGGCAATCTCAAGGTGCCTGCTGTTTCCTGGGTCTACAGACAAGGTGTCTACTACTGCAGTAGGAGCCCAACATCATGTTGATCTGTTAGCGTGTGCCCTCGCAGGTAGTAAATATTTGAGGTGCTGAACTGAGTGAAGGGTTTGGAGTCCCCCAGTCTCATTTTTAGCTACAGGAAGGATCTAAGCAAAGGAAGGGCTTTTGCTTTGGCTTTCTCTCTGTTCAAGACCATTGATACTCTGCATCAATCCATCACATTAAATTACGGCTTAATTGCCTGTGTGCAGGATTGTGAAAGCAAAGTCAGCAACCTGGTGTCGCTGAAATGATGATGGAGTTGTCCCGTATGTTCAAACCCCAAACTCGGGATACATTTGACTGATGTGCTCTTCCAATTCCAATGCGAAGAGAGGCAGTGAGAAAGCTGCTAAAAAAATAAGAAAAAAAGTTCCAAAAGATGGAAATACCAAGAACATAACTTGAAAGCCAAGACAAGATGAAACATGACATGAGGGAAGAACTGGAAGAGAGTACAGAAGAACAGAAGAGGGAAAGAATATTAAATGTTTGTGAGACTTAGCTCTAACAAGCGATAATTCTAATGACTGGAGTAATCTTGTGGGAAGGCAATAAGTAATAATGCACATGGTGGCATTAAAACTCTTTAAAAATAACATAACAGCTGTGAAAAAATACGTAATTTAGAGAAAATAGCTCACTTTTCAACCCTGCATGTATGAATCCCTGGGATTTGCCTCACTGGTGCCGGCTTATGCTCTCACTGAGCAGCAGGTGCCCTGGGTGTCACCTGGGGGTGATTTTTGATCAGATGGCCTGAAAAGCTGCCATAGCAGATATTTGTGGTAACGCTGTTACCAGGGTCTACTCAGTCATGCCCCGCAATCAAGCATGCTAATTAATCTGTCAATACAGAGAGCTGTGTTTAGCAATGCAAAAGGTGCTAATTCTCATAGTTTTTGCTTAGCTTTCCTCCTTAGCCTCCACTTCCATGAATAGCACCCAAAGCTGCATGCAGCTCACTTACAGATGCCATAAGATCTAGTTCTTGATGTTCAAGAAGGAAACAGGTGCTGGCATATATGTAATTTTCTGGCACGGGCATTGGTAATTATCAAAATAACACATTAGCATGAAAAATGTCAATGCAACTTTTGGCTCCACACATTCTGCCTTTTGCAGAAAGTGCTATCCGCATATGTATATAATGATGATGACATTATATAGATTTGCATAATTCCTTTCTTTACAAAAAATAGCCTGGAGAATTCCACCAGCTCTGAAATCATAGGAAGCAGCCTACCCTTCAATCAGAGGTAATTATCTTAAATGGCACTCATTTTAGGTGGTGGAATTTGGCTTGCAGAGCATGGGATGCGGGTAGCGCTCCAGCCCCAGCGTGCAACCACGAACAGTAATACCGCAAATATGGGGAGGATGTTGAGGAACGTTAAAACCAGTGGAAGGAAGGGAGGAGAGTTAGCAGAAAGCAGCCTCTCGAGCTGGAATCTGGAAGAACAGAAAATCTGTTTGCAAAATGCTTCTCTTTAATAAGAACTGGCCAAAAACTTTGCTTTATGTCGCCCTTAAAATGTATTTTCCTAAACTGATATCTGTGTGACCTCTGAATGTATTTTGCCTTAAGGAGCTGGTTTTCTCCTTTCTTTGCAAACTGCTAGCATAACTTACAGCTTATTTGGTAACATGTTATCAAAGACGGTCAGATGTGGCAGTCTCATATCTCTGTCCGTTCCCATGTCCGCTTGGCTGCCGAGAAATTGCATTTCTGTTTGTTCGAAAAATACTTTCACCTCTATAACATTAGAGCAAAGGCAGCATGTTTTTCCAGGACAAGCAGAGGAATATTTCCACACAGGAAAAAGTCAGGGAATGACCATGTACCTGCTGTCACTGGTGGTGCAAGGTAGTGCCAACCCTGCATGTATAGATGTGGGCATCCCTGGGGAGTTATTTGGGGTGCACTGCCCTATCTGTGTCCAAAGTGTGACAAAAGCTGGCCTAGGTGCAAGCCTTTAAGCAGGACTTGCTCACATGTCACCAGTTCATTCTTCAGCACCTATCGACTGTGATTTGTTGCGAGCTACTATACTAGTCCCAGATTTACTGTGAGCCCGATTACCTGCTACGGAGATAATAAGCTTAAGCCTCCAAACTCATTTTCGAATGTGATGTAGGATGTCATCAAAGTGCATTCCTCTTGCCGCGTAGCCGAGATCGTTTAGTTATTTGGGATTTTGCAGCTCCTTCCTCAAGCAATTTTGCAGTGACAGTGAATCAGAGAAAACCTCTGGATTTTAACCCTTTCCCTTGCGAGTGGCTGCACGTCCTCTTTCTGGTCTAAAGACTAGATCCTGCAGCTCAGGCTCAGACTCGAGGTCAAACAGCTTTTGTCTTGCTGAAACCATGGACTATGCTGGCCTAAAGCTCTGTGTGCCCTTGCTGTGAACCACAGTGGGAAGCTGAACTGTCTGAAATATTTCTTTTTAGCTTCTTTTTAGCCAAAGCAGCCTTTTAGCACAGTGGTGGGAGCAGTTGTGCCCCCACTGGTGTGCTCGCCCAGCAGAGCAGCAACGCTGGTAGCTGATGCTGTTTCCGAAGGCTCCGTGCAGCAAACTGCAGCGCTGGAGCAGACGGGTGCGAAGGAGGGACTCGAGTCCTTTTCTGCAAATGAAAAACAAGCAGCAAAATCGCCAAATGCGTCCATTGGAAATGTAAATTGGCCTGTGCTAAGCCTCAATTTAATGCGAGTGCTTCAGTTATACTTGGGTCGTGATGCTTAAAAGCTTGATGGAGATGAAGGTGGCTTCTTTTTTAGAGAACTTGCCTGTAATTTCAGATAAAATATAGACCAGTTTAGTCCAAAAGCATCATTATAACATATTCACAACTAGGAAAATGTTATATATTTTACAAAACTTCTCTTGAAGTACAAAAGAAAAGCTTAAGAAATGAGCCCAGACTTTTGCACACTGAAATGTTGCGCTTAACAAATCAAACAAACAAAAAGAATGCAGAGAATTTACTGTGGATAGCTTAAAATCATCAAATAAGTAGCAAGGAGAAGATACCTGGGTGATCCATGCTAGTTTACCACTCCTGATAGTACAGAGAGGAACAGAAATATCACCCTGTTTTGAAAGCATAGAAATATTTATTGTACAAACCAAAACTCAACAGACAAAACTTCTGGTGAGATTCTTGCTTTAATATTTCAGCTGTGGGTTCAAGTTTTAATTGCATGTGCTGCACTGCAGATGAGTCATAGGAGCCATGGCCGTAGGAGAGATGATCCGTCCTGCAAATACTCCACTTTGTTCATCTGCTGTGTAGAAAAGGGGTGGAATAAACTCCACTTTTGCAGAGGGGTGTTCCTCACTCATCAGGAATCTGCCCCATCTCATCCAATGGAGATGGCTGGTTTGGTGCAAAGTAGAGATTTTGGTGTTTCTTGAGGTGAACAGTCCCAGGTTTTGTTAAATCTCTGGCGGCTCTGTCAGGCAAATACCAAAATACCAAAATTTTAGAGGAAAATTTAATGTTGAAGTCATAGGACAGAATGGAATATAAGAATATAGGATTTACTGGGCCTGAGCAGGTTTCCCATGGCCAAGATAGCCTTCCCCATGTGTGAAAGTGAGGAAAGAGCTTATTTCCTTTTCAGAGAGCTGTGATTAGATGTCTAATGACTGCAGCCATCACTGGTCAATCTGCTGTAACTCGGTATTAGTAGAAGAGAAAATAAGGCACCTTTTTCCTCAATCTTTGAAGATGAAAATGAACCTATCTCACCTCTCTTATTCAAGGATTTTTTTGTTGTTGTTGTGTGTGGATTTCTCTCTTTTTTTTCCCAAGAGATGAGATACTATTTGGAAACAGCTGTCTGTGAAAGGAAATCTATGCGTGATCAAAGCCTCTGCCAATTACAGAGTTATTACTCTTTCTCCTAGGCTTTTGAATAGGACCTTGCTGTTCCTAGCTTTGTCAGCGATGCTCAGGGCAGTGCTGCAGGGCCTGACATTTTCTGGCTTCCAACCCCATTGAGGCAAATTCCCCATGATCAGGTGCCAGTTCATCGCTCGTATTATGTTTGATTGTAATCGCGTCAGCCTGCAGATCCTAAAATTGTGTGTCTCTGCAGTTACATTAAGGCACTGTAATAGGCCTGGATGGCTTGTGAGAATGCAGATAAATTCATTATCCTGTAGAGCTGTGTCAAGCTACCTGCTGCTAACTGAGGATGATATGATTCTGTGGTGACTGCATTATAAAAAAGCATTATTCCTTAGGGATTATAAATAATAGAATTTGTGATGCTGTAGTTGTTTTCAGCAAGGTAGGATCACGTTAGGAAGTAGATCTTGGAGGAGAAGGATCAGAAAAAAATCTGGTGGAAGCTGTTCTTTCTCACCTACGTTTGCAACCGAATCAGTATGCAAGTTGGCTGTGGTGAACAACAGTTGTCTTCTGACTGTGACTCTCCTCTGTTGCAACTGGAGGAGGATCCAGCAGCTCCAGCTACTTGGATCTGCCTGTGCTGACATGCCCTGATGATCCTGGGGAGGGATCATCCCTCCTATGGCCAGTTCCAAGGAGGAGGAAGACCACCCTCCAGCTCGGTCCCATGACGACTGCCTTTTTCCTGCCTCTGACATTAAGATCTTTCCTTGACATGTCTCCAGGGAAAGTGGCTCAGCTGGTTGTGTTCACAATAATTCACAATAGGACCAAGCTGGAAAAGCCTGGTTTGCTACTAGACTTTCCTTGCCTCATCCCTTCTCCTCTAAAAGAGCAGATTTTAGGAGGATGACTCTTTATTGTCGCAGTCTATATGTTTTGCTTTCTTTTGACTCACTTCCATAGCTATGATCCAGCGCACTGCAGCTCTATATTTTTTTCTCAAAGAAAAAGAACCCATGGCTTATGTAGTGTGAATAATGAAGACATTGCCCCATTATTAATATAGAAGTAGGTGAAAATATCTACTTGAATAGCAAGGCCTGATTCCTGTGGGTTTTCCCCATGAGGGCTTTCTCCTAGGTATGTGCATGTAATCTCTGCAGAAGCAGTTCTTCAGGGGAAAAGCAGCTTGACCTGGGACCGTGCCCCCAGAACAAATTTCTCTGCTACTTGTGAGTCTGAAGTTGCAGGAGGGAAACCCTTCTTTGCCAGCAAAAGCCCAAAGATGCAAATGTTCTGCACCAAGCTCTGCTTTCTAGTTATTAGAGGTGCCCTTTCCTCAAGAGCAGTGGTTGATTGGACCACTGCTGAATTATACAGCACCTTGATTTCTGCCCTGCTCCGTTGTGTTAATTCCCCTGAAGGCATTGCTAGATTTTTATAAATCCTGCACTATTGTTTATTTTGCAGGCACTACCTGAGGGGCAGACGGCATCCTGGGATACAGCCAAGGAAGACGAGAACCGCAATAAGAATCGATATGGAAACATAATCTCCTGTAGGTGTAAATTCCCATTAAGTTGAGTTTCCTCTATGAGTTTATAAGCAGCTTGTGGGAAAGGGCATTTTTGAGAACCTCACTAAAACCTGGCATGTGGTGTCAGGCATTCACTATTTGTTACGGGCTAGTTACTTTTCATGTTTGTTTTTTTGTTTATTTTACATGTTTTCATTGGTTTACTTTTGTTTTACTTGACTTTACAGTTATACGTTTATGAGCACTGCTAGTTTAGGTTGATGTTTGCAATTTGAGGGCTTAATCCTTTTTTCAGCTTTCCTCAATGGATCATGATGCACGTTATCTGGGTGTTACTGCTACGTTGCACAGAGATTTCCATGCCCTGAATGGGAGCAGGGCCAAGGGAGATGAGGATGAATCAAGATTTCAGGTGTGGCTCAGAGACAGGGTTTTCTCTTTGTGCAAGGACCAGTAAGCATCAGAGCACATGCTGTGTGTCTGCAGAGAGCTGCTTGGTTTTGTGGGGCGAGATTTGTTTCTGCTTCAGAATCACAGTCAGGCTGTTGAAAATGCAGTGAGTGCTCCCCCGTTTTCCTTCAAGAAGTGACTACCATTGCAGTTACAGGGACAGTAATTGTAGAATGGCCATTGTGGAATGGCAGGGCTGCAAGGACTCCATAAAAACATTTAGGTCAGTCTTATTCTCTAAGTCAGGGCCAGCTCTGCCACTGTCATTTTTATCAGATGTTTGTGAAGCCTCTTGCTGAAGGTCTCCAAAGCTGAGCTTTCCACAAACTCTTCAGGAAGTTTATCCCAGTGTATTGTTATTCCCTGGGATGAGTGAGTGGGGGGAGCGGGGGGAGGCACCAGATCATTATTTTTAGGGGTTGCTGAACAGCTGCAAATTGGAGAAAAAGAAATAGGTATCAAGAGAGTGGCTGTTCCATATGTTTACAGAACACTGTAGATCTATGGAAACCTATTCCAGTAAGAAGAAAATCAAGTCACACAGTATAATGTGTTTAGTACTGTATTTTTCCCCAGGGTATCCTATAGGTCAGACATTACTAAAGGGATAAAATGGGACCATAGTGTGGGACCATAGTGTGGTGGCATTAGGAATATTTGTGCACCCTTGGTCACAAGGAACGACGATCTCACATGTTTCCTACCTCTCGTCTCTGTTTCATTTATCTGAAAGAAGTATTTTTCTGTTTCGGGGACATGAAATGGAGCAAATCAGTTCAGAGGGCTTATTTTAAAGGTGAATAATTCTGGGGAAAAAAGGTCAGAAATTTAGCATCTCTGATTTGATCTCTTTTCTTCTGCTGGCTTTCTGCGTTACTTGTGAACTGGTTGCGAGCACCTTCTCTCTTTGTTTCTTCCTGTGAAAAATGAAACTAATAATGCCAGATTATTACTGTTAGTGTGAAAATGTCCTTTAACCATCTAAAATCTTGGCCTCTCCGTAAGCTTCCTTTGTGTTAGTGGCACAGAGAGGCACCATTAAACAATGGTTCAATCTAGTTGTCTTGTTGATTAGGTTGAATTAAGTTAGCCTAAGTGAGAGGAATCATCCATCTAACAGCTACATGATGTTTTAAAGAACCAAGTGCCTTTGTGTGTTATAAGAGCACGGGGAAGACTCTCTGTTTCTTTGCATGTCCTTGAAGAAGATGGCATTATGTAAAAGCTGAGGCGAAAAGAGACAGGATTTTGGACAGTAGTCACCATCTAATTCAGGTTGAAAGTGGCCACAAAAATTGAAACGCAAGAGAAGGAATTAAGGAAGCAAACTCAAGCGAGATAAAGGGGCTATGACCCAGAGGGAAGGTGTTCGCAAAGATATATTGTTGTCTAACAAAGAGTGATGCTTGCCTTTTAGCGATAAATATAAATACAGTGGGAATACGGATGGGAGGAGATGTGCTTGTAAAAGGAAATGCAGAATGTAATCAAAGTTAAGAAAGAGGTGTCTGAGCAGTGTAAAGCATGAGAATAGAAGCTCAAGTCAGAGGGCTGTTGGGAAGGTTTCAGAAGGAGGTAGAGAGGGGTGGAAAGGCATAGATAAGAAAAGCAAAAGTTGTGAAAGAAAGGAAGGAAGGAAGAAAGAAAGAAAGAAAGAAAGGTTGGATGGGTTTTATTCCCTTCAAATATAGGTGAAATAAAGAGCTTGAGGAGGAGACAGTAGCTCTTCTAAAAGACAGCAAGACGAATTTAGTAACGCATAATAAAGTGTGATGAAGTGAAATGGAAGGAAATCATCTTTTCACTTGCATGAGACAGGAGAGAAAGGAGATAATGCCTAAGAAAAGGGGAGACATTTAGCAGGTGTTTTTTGAAACTGGTAGAAACTTGGCAGTGATGCCATGGGCTGTGTGTTGAGCTCAGCTTTACGTTCATGTCACCTGCATGTGGGGCAGACCTGACATGGAGCAAGCACATTTCCATCCAGACAAACATAGTAGCCCCCTTTCACAATTCCCAGGTTCAGCCATGTGTTCATGTGGGGCAGACCTGACACGGAGCAAGCACATTTCCATCCGGACAAACATAGTAGCCTCCTTTCACAATTCCCAGGTTCAGCCATGGAACCAGCATGAGCCATTTGATCCTGACAGGAGAGGAATTTGAAATCAGCTGTTAAAAAGTATCTGTTACAGCTGATGGATACTGAGAAACTTGTCTACCAGTGGATGGACTATGTGCAGGATTTGCAGCATGCATCAGAACTTAATGGTGCCACAAACGATTGCAACTGCAATATCTTTTATATTTTTACTCTGGATTTTCTGCTGCTATAGAAATAAATAGCTCCCATTAAAGGCTTTGGTAGGTTCCCATGTGCTGTGATAAGATCAGATCCTTAGAAAGGAGAGGAGGGAAGTTCAACACTTGTTGTGGTTTCTCTCCTCTTCCCCTTACCATTGCTACTGATGGACTAAATTGGGCAACTTGCCCGAATAAAAGCAACAACGGGATCCAGAATAGAGGATATTTAGCAGAGTTGAAAATAGAAAGCAGGAGACTGGCTCCCTCTGGGCAGATCGTGAAAACAAATTGTACTCGGTGGGTACAAACTATGCAAAACCCTGAGTGGGGGAGAGAAGGTGGAAAGCTGTAATACCCTTAACTAACTGCTTGGTTACACTAGAACTGCGATTGCTGCAGAAAACAGTCTGCCCTGATTACTCTTACCACTTTATTTGGTAAAAGGCTGCTGATGGTGATTAACCTTATTTATTTAACCGCAGTTGCCGTTTCATCACTCCTGGAACAAGAACTTACAAATCCCTTTTGGGGAATGAATTGAGAAGTCAGGTTTTGATCTAACTTTTGTAACGGCTTCAGAGAATTGTGGTGAAATGTGGGTTTGTAAGCTCTTGCAGTAAGTAGCGTTGCTCAGTGAATCACGGCAGATTAGATCTTGTCTTTATGCCCTCTTGGGTAGCAGTGCACTAACAGGACTGTTTTACTCGGCTCATCGCTTTCCTAATGCTGTATTAACACCATGCCTCTCTATGAAAATCTAGATCTTGCTGCCAACCTCAACATCTGCCATTCCTACATTTGCAAACCCAAACTGCAAATGAGGCTTAGCTGCTCATGGAGAGGAGATGCAGTAGAGCTGTCGGCTCCTCCATGTTGCAAAACTAGATTTCTCAGGGTTCCCCTCACTCTGAAACACTGCTGCTTTTTAGAGAAATGAAATTTGATGACTGGAGTGGTCTATGTATTCACAGACATTCTGCTGATGGTGGCAAGATGCTTTCTTACTGCTGTCTGTAGTTGTATAGCTTTCTCCATGCTTGATGGAACTGCCTTACTAGTATTTCTTGCTATATTGGCCCATTGACTCTGCTCCTGGACTTCGGGTATAAAAAATTGTAAATGCCATGCAGTTGTGAAGATGGAGGGTTTTTCTTTGGTTTGTGTTACACAGTGGATACATTCATGTACTGAAGCTAAATTACATTTGCTTTAAGATACATTTGCTTTAGGACTTAGATTTTAAGGGCTTCAAAATACATTGATGGGTCTTTGCTAGGGGAAGGATATTGTGCTTGTGGGCCTGGGTAGTCCCATGATACCGAAAACTCCCACAAGTTATTTGGGGTGTCTGGTGTTCAGTTGCACCACATTCCTCACCATCTTCTCCAAACCACTGCACGTAGGCCTGAAAGCTGTCAACTGAGAGCTGAGTGAATGGCAACATTGAATGTTGTGTTGTTTTGACTTACAGGAGAGCTCTTGACTTTCTGTTGTCCTGTTGATGAGCACAGGAGGAGCTCAGCTCAAATCCTGCAAGGCTGGCAGGGCTGGTGCTTCATCAGACACAATTCTCCCACCCACAGGGTAGCCAAGCCATCTTCCCAGTTAGGCCATGATTTTAAAGTCATGTAATGGTCCATTTAAAAAATCCTGAGTTGAGCTGATCCAAAGGACAATGGGGAAACTTGCTTCATTTTCTTCATGCTCTGATGTGTGTTTTTCGTTTGAAGATTGAGAATCCCAGGATTTTGTGGTGGAAGAGACAGATTTCAGAGAGATTCCTGGAGCTCCAGGCTGAAACTCAAGTTGAATGGGCTCCTCAGCCGCAGAGAAGGATAATATGTGCAAACAACAAAAAAGACAACAGAGTGGGATTTGGGTTAAACTAAAATTGAATCTTAGTTTTTCTTCCAAGCATTCTCCTTTCATATTTCTTTTGTGTAGTGCTTTGACCCTAGCTTACCTTTAAAACATCCACATTGCCCCATGCTGGGAGGGTGGATTCGTCACGCTAGTTGTTGCTTCGTTCTCAAGGCTTCCTTGAGAACCAGTGAGGGCAGAGAGGGGAGGACAGTGTCCCTGGGAGGGCACCTTGTCCTGCAGACGCCGCCGTGGTGTCTGCACGCTCAGGTGTCTCCGTTTCTCCACCATCCGTGATGCAGGGAGCCCTGACAGCCAGTCTAGACTAGCTCCATAGTGTTTAGGTAGCTGGAGTTGTGGGGGATGAATCCAGCGCTGGTGTCAGAACGAGATGTGGCAAAATTGCCCTGAAATGTAAAATGATCACTAATGGGAATTTTGACAGAAGTTTGGAACAATAACATTTTTGTGCTAAAATGGGAGTGTGGTGCTTTTCAGTGAGATTCTTGTCATTTTTGAAATCTGTTTTAAGCCCAATTTTCAGTCGAAGTACTCTTCCTTTCCATAAAAATTTAGTTTTGCTGACTTGCATGGGGACTATAGTAAATAGGGAGAAATAAAATAACTTAAATCTTTGTTTTCCATTTTTCTACCTTCCTAACTTGCATATGGAGTATGATAAGTAGGGAGACATATAAAAAATTGTTTTCCATGTCTATACAGTCTTGACTATCACAAGCATGAATTTTCTATTTTCCTGCATATTTTTAAAGCAATTTCTCATTATCCATCTGTAATGCATGGTGATTTTGTGAGGTCTAATGAATTTTCAAATGAGTTGAACTATACTTTCCATTCGGTGCACCAAAAATGTAGTCTCTTTGGGTAGCCGAATCCTCTGGAAAGTGTGCAGAATCAGGAATACTTTCTAACCAGTGGGAGGAGATGTAATGATGACATTTGCTGTTCTTTAAAAAAGCCCTTTGAAATCCAAAGATTAAAAAAAATGTGAATTAATAGAAGTGTTTTCCCTCAACCGTTAGCTCTGGGGATGTTTTTTTGAGTTTCTTTTGTTCAGCATGATGCTTAACTACCATGGTTTGCAGCCTTGAATTGCAAGTGTGAAATTACGTACAGGAGTTTTTGTGGGTTTTATATATGTCCAGTTTAATCAGCTCTTTGTCTGGCTTTGAGAATTGCTCTTGGTATAATTCTTTTGTTGTCTCTCTCCTGCCTGATTTACTCAAACTCCTGGTGTGATTGCCCTGGGCACGGGTGAGCAGCTAGAGCTGGGACAAGATCAGCACTTTGAGTAATACACCTACCCTCAGTGCATTTGCAAAAGTTGTTTTTATTAATACAAATGTAGTGGAGCCTATGATGGATTCACCTGTGTAATCAGTTTTGCATGCAAATGTAGCATTTGTTAACAGTACCAATATGGGGGTATTTTTTTTGGTGTGAAAATCTCACCCAGAGAATGAACAGAGTATGAAAATCGTTGTTTTACATGAGCAAAGGAATATTTAATGCATTAATATATTGGTTTTCAGCACTGTGTCCACATTTGGCCTTCACAACTTTTGTCTGATTATGCATTTATTTAAGTCATTAGTAAAACCCTTTCTGACTTAGGGCAGAACCTGCCCTCACATTTTTATGTTTCACTGCTATGATTCTTTTTAATTGAATGTAAATGGTGCTGAGGTCCATATTTAGTAAAATGCTTTTAAACATTAATGTTCTACTCCCTGGGAGGTGCATTCTGCATAACCATCAGAAAGAGTAAAATTGAAATTAATGAAATCTGTGTTACAGTTCTGGAGGGAAAAAAAAAAAAAAAAAAGCCTCAAGAAGGAAGCCAGAGTGTCTAGCACTGCCCTGTGTCAACCAGGCAGTTGCTCCTTAGATGACAGTTGTGCACATGCCAGTGCTGGAATTTTAGGACGAAGTTGGATTTCCAGTGCAGCTCTCTCTGATAGACCTCAGCGCAAACTGTGCCAGGGACAGATCAAAATATTCCCTTGGTGGAAAATTGTGCTATAACCTGCCCCGAGGTGGTTTCTTTCTAGGTCTGAGCATCCTGGGAGATGAAAAGATTGATATCTGTAATTTTATTGCCTTATCTAAAGCAACTTTTGAATGTTCTCAAAACCATGAACTGTTCTATTTTTTTTTCCTTGAGTCTCAGTGCCATTTTGCTACAGCAAGTTTTGTGTTGTATAAAATAATGTTGCTTTGATTTGGTTTGGTGTTTTCGTTTACTTTGGGAAGGGATTGCTGCATTTGGTATTTGCAGGATTTTATTTGCCATTTTATCATATTTAATATTTCATCTGCGACCTGGCCAGGGCAGTGCTTATTTCCAGGTGTGACTTTTTGGCTTTTTTAGTGGAGATACTTCCCTAAGAGATCTGTCCCCTAACCCCCAAACCAAGCAGTATTTGCGGGCTAGGTAAAGCTGTTATATGACATCAGTGTATAATTAACATTGAACATGAATGAACAGTAACCTAACAGTCTAAACATGACATCTTAATCCAAAAGGAAGATCACATAGTAGGAATAGTTCTGATAATCTCTCATTTTGTTGTAGGCAGTCAATTAACCACTTGCAAGAATCCGCAAATAAACCGAAGCACCTAGGGAGTCCCTTTTATCGTTACTGTTAGTATTTTTCTTTCCTCCTTTCAGATGATCACTCAAGGGTGAGATTGCAGCTGCTGGACGGGGACCCTCATTCCGACTACATCAACGCGAACTACATAGACGTAAGGCTCGGGATGCTCCTCTGTGGCAAAGACTCCTGCTGACGGGTCCCCTCGCGGATTTGGGGCCTCTTAGATAGGGACTGACTGTTGATCTGATATGAATGACAGACAAACGTTACACAAACGCCATGTTGTGACAGAGGGAGAAGGCTCTTGGTCTTCAGTTTATTCTTTCTGACTGATCTAGATACCTGGAGATTTCCTATGCTTGACAGATCCACAAACATAAGTGGAGTGTGGGATAAATGCACAGCGGATGTGGAAATCACAAATGACATTAATAGGTATCTGAGATTTATTGGCTGCATACAAAGGTGCAGTGCTGTAGGCATGTAAAGGGAGTGGTATACACTTTTTTTACATGTTGCAAAATAACAGTGAAAAAGCCTTCCTCATACATGCAGATTGGCCATGTGAACATGCAGTATTTTGTGCACATTTCCTAGTACGTTGCAACATAATGTCATTAAGAGCTGCTTTAATGGGGGGAGCTGAGAAATGCGCTTAAAGCTGCATAGCATTGACATTCACCGTTTTCAAATGCTCAACTTGCCTGTTTTCAAACTAGTAGGTGCAACTTTTTTGCATGTTCATTTTCAGAGTTCCCCACAGAGCAGTTATAAGACTTTGAGGGAGTAGTGAAAACTCTCTCATTTCTGTTTTCTCTTGGTGTGGTGAAATGTTCCAGTTTTGGGGAGGGGGAAGGGGAAGGCAGGTTTAAAAATTCAGTCTAAGCGAGATAGCAAGATACCATCACTTATAATCCCAAAGTGTTATGCAGGTGTTTGTCTTCATCTACTCAGTTGCTGGTGTTAGTACACTGTTAAGTGTGCAACAGTTGTTGGAAGGTGTAAAATGATTCCTCTTGTGCTTTTTTCAACTGTGCTCTTGCAAACCTTCACACATTTTCACTTTTTTTTTTTTAGGGATACCACCGGCCTCGTCACTACATTGCAACCCAAGGCAAGTTCATTCTTGCATGTCTAAGTCCTCGTTAAAACCACTGCAGTTTTAAACTGGTAAAAGAGCAGTTCCCTTCCCTGGTAGCCTCTGTTCTAGAGGATGTCAGAGAACTTAGGGTGGCATAGGGATATCAGAGGAATGTAGGCTATTTAAACTGATTTAAAGCAGTTGAACATAAAACCTTACCGCATTGCTAGATATTCCTTGCACTAGGATAATATTTTCCCCCATTATGAAACCTCCTGCTGACAATATTTGTCCTCACATGGATGCACTCCTTCCCTGCAAGCGTGACTTTCCCATAAATGGCCATGGTGCTCAAATTCTGCTTCATGACGTCCCCTCTGTCTTGGCTCTGTTCAGAAAGAAAAGTAACATATTAGAGTAGAATTGGGAGTCAGGTGGTATCAGGGTACAGGGAATGCAGCCGGACAAAGAACAGGGAAGATGGAACATGGGCGGAAGGGAAGGAGGGATCCATGGCAGGATTTTGTCTATGGTGGAAAAAAGAGGAAGGAAACACGGTCAGAGATAAGCCCTAGTCTGAAAAACCTCCTGTGAGTACTGCCTGTTTGACTGTTGGAGCCTGAAAACTTTATCTCTAGGGGAATTTCAAAAATGGGCTCTTTTCTGCAGGTTTCCTCTGCCAGAATTTTCAAATATTAAAGTGAGAAATGGAGGCATTTTAGTCCTGCATCAAGTACAAATCTCAGCAGAGCCTTAATTAGAGTCTCTAGGGTGCATCCATGTCCCATCAATCGTACAAGTTTCCCAACTGGGGCAATCTCCAGTATTTACGATGCAACCAGAATCTCTGTTTCCAGCATGCCAGAACCCTACAATCCTCGTGCCAGGAGGGATGAGGTGTCTCCTTTCCTAGGGAGCTCAGTGTCCTTTCCCTCTGCAACCCTGAGCACAGAGTGATGCTCTGAAGGGAGGAGTGGGGACTTCGTGAGAACATGGCAAAGGATAGGGAACAACGGGAATGGGTTGCTGGCACTTGATACTCTCTCTCAACGTGTTCTTTGGTCTCTCAACGTGTCCTTTGGTCTTTCTTCCGGCCCAGGGCCGATGCAAGAGACAGTGAAGGATTTCTGGAGAATGATTTGGCAAGAGAACTCCGCGAGCGTTGTCATGGTCACCAACCTAGTGGAAGTCGGCAGGGTAAGGATGCCGTTTTCCCAACAGGTAAAGCCAAACCAGCGCTGGGCATGTTCCAGGCATGCGCAGGGAGGGAAAGGCCTCTTGTTTGCTGTAGTTTGAGGAGCCAGGGAATGAATGATGCCACTCGGGTCCTTCTGTGAAATGCTGGATTTTGTAATACTTGGCTGCTTCCCTGCCAGACTAATAAGGATCTTGTTCCTGCTGTAAATCTGGACTTCAATAGTTATACAAATTTATGCTATCTGAGGAGCTGTTTCTTTTTCACTACACAGGGAAAAATGTACTACTGTAATAATTATTCTTTACCCGTATAATTTTAATATGTCTCTACTCACCAGAGGGTATGTGCAAGGGCATGTGACTTGTATTGAACCTGATCAAAGAGCTCTTTAGATGGCACTTCAAAGCCTAGAGCTTCTGAAAGTTGGAGCGTCACTATCCCAGGGTGGTGTGGGACCACGTACAGATGGCACATGGGGCCACCCAGCAGCGTTGGCCTCCCCAGTACCCACAACTTCACTGTGGTTCAGGGGAACCAGAAGCCAAGAGCAATCACCAGGAGCCCAGGATGGGAGCAGATGTGAGCAATGCAAGAGGTTTAGACTGACCACCACCAAATCAATAAGAAAAAATGCTTCTCCTAGCACATTCTCCTCACTTCTAGTTGTCCTCAGTGTAGAAGCATTCTCAGAGAGAGACAAGAGTGCTTTGAAATTTTGCCATGGTGTTTGTCACCTCCCATTGCTTTGGTACGAAGACAAATTGCGATGATGGGTTACTCACAAGCATTAGTGATTCAACGGTTTCGTATGTGCTTGCCTCTAAATCTCGTGGTTGAATGCCGCATGGCCTTTTGATTTGTTATTATTTACTCTATATATTTTGTCTTCTACTGACACTCCTCTCTAAAAAGAATTTACATTAATCATTGTTTTTATATTTATTAAAACCTTTCTGATTATGGGACTGGAATATGAAGCCTGCCTTCTGCCTTTCAGTCACTAATTAGCTTAGCTTTTAGGTGCTGTTCCAAGTTTTTATGTTACAGCCAATTCATGGTTTTTATGAACTTAAATAGTCCGTGAGCTTTACAGCTCTGACTTGAATTTCTGCTATTAGTTTTGCACATGACTAAAAGTAGCTAAGCTTGGGGTATATTTATATGATATGATTTTTTTTTTTCTTGAGCCTCAGGTCAGGCATGTCTCAGCTGGTAAAATGTCAAATTTGTGTCAATATCTCATAAGGAAAGCTTAGAGTCAAACAAATGTAACGTATCAACAAGTATCACTCATCTCCTGTGAACTGAAATTCTGCAGTGAAACAGAGAGCTTGGAATTACAGTAGCATTAGAAAAAGCATTGATTTTAGTCAGAAGGATTGTGCTGGAGACTGCCAGGTATTCTCTGAACCTGATACATGTCTGTTATAAGCCTGATATAAGATATACCAATGCATGGGGGGGGGTGTGTGTGTGTGTGTATGTATAAAAATATATAAGGCAATTTAAGGAAGAGAAGATCAAAGAAAAGCTAAATAAATCCTTTGCATTGCTATTCACTACAGGGGAAACTGTATAAATGTCCTCCCTGTAGTTTCCATCTATGGCAGAGAAGTTTTGGCCTCACTTATATACTATATTTTTACAGGATCTGAACATCAGGAGAAAGGCCAATTTGTGTTGAGCTTCAGCTTGAAAGTGGAGTAAAGTGTAGTTCAGTGCTGATTCAGCTTGAACTATTTCTTCTCAATATTTTCTTTGTGTCCCCAGGTAAAATGTGTTCGGTACTGGCCAGATGACACAGAAGTGTACGGAGATATTAAAGTCACATTAATTGAGACAGAACCATTGGCAGAGTATGTCATACGCACATTTACTGTCCAAAAGGTAAGGAAATCTCTAGTCAGCCGAGGTCCTGATTCAGCACTGCATTTGTCATCTGTCAGAAACTTGTCCAGGATCCTCTTGGAGAAACTGGCAATATTTGGATAGGTTTCAGTCCAGAAACCAAAGCTTCCAGTTCTGGACAAGTGATTTTGCATGAATGTCTAGATATGGGCACAAAGGTAGAATCCATAGTGCATGAAGTCTAAATGCATCCAGAAGCTGGCAGGTAGTTGACAACATGCCATGGATAATAACTTCTGTTTTGTAGTAGTAAATTACAGATGATAAAAGGTACCCATTAAATAAGATGAGAGGTATGGTCCATTTCTGATAGGAGAAGAATTATAATAAGGGCTTGACCGCAAGCTTATCCCAAAATCTGCAGGATTGGAAAGATTTTTTTTATTATGTTTCATTAGAAATTGGAAGTCTAAATGACAGAATATTCCAGGTCCATCCAAATCAAAGTACAAACATTCAGGGAGCTGTTTTAAAGCTTTTCAGAAATGGTCTTTGAGCGAATTTCAGCTGAGCCACACTGGGAATGTTCTTCCAGTTTTCTAATACACCAGCTCTGTGTTTTGTTAAGCCACTGAGAAACTTAATAAGAAATGCTAATGTCAAAGGATGTGCTGATGCCAAAGTGCTAATGTTCACCTAGTCTCCCTCGACGCTGGATTCCACATACATTTCCTATATGATAAAATACTAACTGGCCCCTCTTTGTTACCCTTTATGTGGCAGATGTTCATGGTCTAGCAATAACCTGTTCTCACCAGAATGACCAAGAGATGGGTCAAGATATCAGTTTTAGCCCACTTAGCTACTTGCTGCCATCTCAAGATGAGGGTGTTTTTTTTGACCATAGGTATCTACTGTTCCCTGAGACGTACCTGCTCTGTAGGTTTTAATTCCCCAGTCTGTTGCTTCAGTACCTTTCAATTAACATTAATATTCATTCCATTGAGAAGGATTTGAGAGCATGGCTTGATGGTGGTTTTGGAAATGTCACCAAAGGAGGCTGTAAGTGCAGCCTTGGTACGCTGGGACTAAAGTCACCTTGAGAATCCCCAGTCAGCTGGTACTGAACTCAAGGAGAAGGTGGACTAGGGAGCTGGCGTGCACTTTCCCACTCCTCCACTGCATGTTACCCACTTCATTTGTAATTGGAGACACTCTCTCTTGTTCCTTGAAATCTCTTGGAGTGAAAAGCAGCGATGACACGTTCCTGCACATAATTGGATCTGCAGAAGGGATAGGGAGCAAAATAGGCTGGTTGCAGCCTGACAGAGGGAAAACAGTGGCTGCCTTCTCTCCTCAGAAAGGCTACCATGAGATCCGAGAGATCCGGCAGTTCCACTTCACCAGCTGGCCGGACCACGGCGTTCCCTGCTACGCCACGGGTCTCCTGGGCTTCGTTCGGCAGGTGAAGTTCCTCAACCCTCCGGAAGCAGGACCTATCGTCGTGCACTGCAGGTATGCGGGAGGTTTGCCCTTCCTCTCCCTCCCTCAGCTTTCTGAGGTTTTTTATCCTTTCTCTCCTAGCCCCACAGTAACCAACTACATCTTGTTTGCTTAAAATTACATGCAGTTTGTCCCACGAAGGAGCAGAGTGGAAGCAGGTTCTCCCTTCCAGCGTGGCAGCTCTGGAGCTTCGCTGACTATTGCTGTTAGTGTTGTGGGCTCCTCTGCTCTGCCTTTTCCCGGCTGAACTTAAAGCCCTGCTATGCAAGGCACTAAGTAGATATGTAGGAGAGTGTCCCTGCCTTGAGGAGCTCGAGCAGTGCAATCAGACACGCCAACGATGGGAGAGCAGAGACGTGCAAGGGCTGGCGTCAGGGCCAGGAAGGGAGCCCAAACCTCCTCATGGGGACTGCCCTAGTAATTATCAGGTTTCTGCACCGATTTGCAGCATAAGAAAGCTTTGGAGGATTCGAAAACTTGGATTGGATCAGGGGATTTATGTGATCTATTATGAGGATGATATACTAAAGTTAACAAATCTCAGAAAAAAACTAGTGAGTGTTGTATGTACAAAAACACCCTTTTCTCAGCTTTACAGTGAAAACAGTGGCTCTTGTAGCCCATCAGTGAAGTATACTTGTTCAGCTTATTATTTTATGACCTCAAATGCCAAGAAAGACATTGCTACCAAAGCAGAGTTTGAGTTTGTCGCAGTTATTCCTGCAATGCTGTGGCCACAGCTAAGTGCACCAGTCCTGTAGAGGAGATAGGGGTGCAGCACGAGCCTCGAGCAGAGCTAGCTGCCCCAAAATCTCACCCCAGATCAGTCCACTGGTAATTCCAGGCTGTGGGATCAAGAGGAGAGGGAGAGAATACCTCCCTAAACCACTTCAAAAAGGAAAATCTAGTAAATTTTACTTTTTTTTTTCTTTTTTATTACAGACTGTATTTTTCAGCACACAGTGAATCAGATTTATAATAAAATACAGCAAAACCTCAGGAGCTGGCTGGAGGGAGTTCTTCCACAGCTTAGGGCTTGGATTTGCTTCCTTGGAGCTGTGACATGGGTCTGGCCTTGGAAAGATTCATCGTCACCAAGAAAGCAAGGGGAAATTTTTCATCCTTCATATTTTAATGAATAAATGCCATTTCCTCTCTGTTATTTATCTGCTTTCGAATTTTAATGACTTGCTTTAAGTAGTAATTACCAAATTCTCCCTACCGATGCCTTGCTGGATAATGCTACTGTTCGATATTTATGAAGTGCCAGGGTCCTCTAAATATAGAAATGTTATAACTATTTGTTAAAATTCTGAAAAGCTGAGAGATAAAGGGAGAGGAAATGCCGCTTATTCACTAAAATTCTGCAAATGAAAAATATCTTCTCTCTATTCAGCAGTTGATTAATCTGGCCCATTAATTTATGGTCATTCATATCTCTCTGCTTTCGGCTCTGCTTGAGTTTCATGCTACTGAAGTTTCCCTGGTTCCAGTGAAGTTTTCCTCCTTCCTCCTCCTTCCCCCAAAGCAGTGTGAGGACTTCCTCCTCCCTCTGTCCTTCCCACCTAAGCAGCTTGGATTTTCCAGGAAGGAAAAGGGACACAATGACAGCACAGTGGGACACACTGACAGCAGGTGTAGGAGATGGGCCCAGGTCTCACAAGCAGCAGGGGGTTCTGAAGTGAAAGGTTTTAGTAGCCTCGAGTTCCTTTATCTGCTATTTTAAAACCTTTGCCTTGACATCACCTTGTTCTGACCCAAAAGGTCTCTGGAAATAAGTTTAAAAAAAAAAAAAAAAAGGAAAGGAGATGTTTGAGGAGGAGGACTGAACATCTTTCATCATGCCCACCTGGGTAAATGTGCGCACTTTCCAAAAAGCCCATGAGGAAAAAAGAAAAAAAATATTAAAAAGCTTTTTTTGGAATTGTATCTATTTGTTGCCTGGAGGCTGCAGTGCCATATCCTTTGCACTGGCAGATGTGCAGCTGAACAGGCCTGTAAAATCATGATGACTCTGCTTTGAAAAATTTGTCTGTAAATGTTCAAGAAAGAATGTGATTTTCTTTTTGTTTGTTTTCTCCTGCTGCCTGCTCCTTTCCACCTTGAAGAAATTTTTCACCTCCTCCTCTCAAATCCTCAGCTGATTTAGCCACACACAAAACCCAAACCTGGTGGAGAGAGAAAAGCAGCTTCTGAAGGAGCCAGCTGTGTCGATGCTTGAGCCATTTTCATCTCCTCAAAGCTCTCCCCCTACGCCGTACTTTAATTCTTTTTTTCCTTTTTTTCTTTCTTTCTTTTTTCAGCGCCGGGGCTGGGAGAACAGGGTGTTTTATTGCCATTGACATCATGCTTGACATGGCAGAGAACGAAGGTGTGGTCGATATATTTAACTGTGTGCGAGAGCTGCGCTCCCAAAGGGTCAATTTGGTGCAGACAGAGGTAGGTGCCAGCCCTTCTCCCCTCGCAATGTTCAGCTTCCCCGCAGCTCCGCGGGGCCGGGTTTGCTGCCTCTGTGCTGTGCCTGTGCAGGGCCCTCTCTGGCTGACCATGCCAACGTCCCCCGAGTCTCGTTCACCGGCATCTCCTACCTGCCTCCGAGGCAGGAAGGCAAGTCATGAAGTTCAGGCTTGGCAAGGCTGCTTAATTTTGTTCTCATCTTGCATGAAGTCTCATTAATGAATCCACTCTTGCCTTGTTTGCAGGTATATTGTAGACTTGGGCAGTACCCGCTTTATATCAATGACAACATAAGAAATGAGTGAAACATCCTCAATTTTTGCTTTGAGGTCCAGATTAAGTAAGCTGCTCTATCCCAAACATTTTGTAGGTGCACAGGCTTCCAGGGAGCTGCTGTCGTACTACAGAAGTGTTACAGAAGGTGCTTTGATACCTTCCCAAGGGTCAAGTCAGTGGTCTAGAACAGAGCATGACCTCAACTGGGCTTCATATCTCATGTGGGTCAGGAAGGAGCTTTACACAGAAAACCAGGCATCTCCACAAGTCCATTAGAATCGATGGAGAAGACCTGCTAGCACTGTTGGCAGTGTTGCAGGTGTTACAACACCCAGCAAAGGGAGCGTTGTCTCATGCTTGGGGACAGAAGGCCTCACGTGCCGGTTTCCCCTCAGTCCATCCCCATTTTGTCTCAGCATCCAGAGATCAGTGACTTCACATCATGCTTTTAAACTGGAAAGGAACATGGGGCTTCATGTTCAGTGATGGATGAAATACGCTCCGAAAGCTGTCACGTAGCACGCTGTGCAATTTGCACATGAAACATGAGCCAGGTATGCGTATCGGGCACAGAGGAAAAAGGCAGCCTACATTATTTAACTCGACTGTGATATTGCATGATCTGTGTTGAAAATATGATCTTCATGTCTTGTCCCGGCGCTGTGCAGGAGCAGTACGTGTTTGTCCACGATGCCATTTTGGAGGCATGTCTCTGTGGCAACACAGCCATTCCAGTCTGCGAGTTCAGATCCATATATTACAACATCAGCAGGCTAGATCCACAAACCAATTCCAGCCAGATAAAAGATGAATTTCAGGTAATTTCTTCCACCTGTCTCGGTCATTGCAGTTGGTGTATTAAATGTGTGTTTAATCAATTTCTTCTCATTATTTGACAATTTCCAACAGAGCGGAGAAGGGGGACACTGAGCCAGGGGCTGACTGCAGGTGATTTTTGTTGGGTTGCTGCTGGATTGGGTTGAAGTTCATGTTTGAGCATAGACTTTTCAGCCTTCAGCAAAGAAAAATTTCCCCGTCTCTTTCACAGAGCAAGGATATTAATTTTCGCAGATAACGTTAGACTTTCTCATTTCAACAAATATGTTGTTCATTTGTTTCTGTAATATATGCAGAAACATTTGTGCCTCAAGGTCCCTTATTAACTGGCTCCCGGCTTACGGGCTGTTCCCACGTCCTGACTAGTCATTCGATTTGCTAACATCCCTTCCTGCAAATGAGGAAGGGAGCAACGAGCGCTGCTTTTTCCAGTGCTGATTCTCAGCAGACTGCAGCCCTTAGTGTGCTGTGCACTTCTTCACCAAGTACCTGGTGGCCAGAACTGAACATCCCAAAACTCACAAGCAGGGGAGTTGTGCAGCTTGCCTGGAGCAAGCAATGAAATGAGGGCTGCTCTGTATTTTGCTAACAGCAGGGCTCATCCCATCCTAATAAAGCGAGGCTCAGGACCGTGAGCCAGTTGTAGCCCTTGCCTAGGAAGGGCCTGTCCTTCCAGAGCAGAGAACTGAACTTGTCGCTCTTATTCCTGAGGTATTTGTAAAGTCTGTCAGGATTTTCAATTGGCTCCAGGGTGTGGGTGGGAAAACATAATAATATGTCAAATTTGAGGCAAAGTGAGTTGGACTGTAAGGAGAAGGAGACCCCTGCCATTTATTGAGGCTGTTCTAAGTCAGAGGTAAAAAGGTGGAGAACTCTCTGGCCATAGATGTTCTTCATCCGCCAGCCAAGTGTCTTCTGCAGCAGTAGAATGACTCCTAGCAGCCCTGGCATAGGTCAGATGCAGCTGCTGCCGCTTCAGGGCTTTTCCTTTCTCTCTGCACAAAGGGATGATTTGTTTTTTATTTGAAGCCTTACAGACAAACATCAGGGTTAGTATAGTGAGATAAAAATTGTGGATCCCAGCTGATGGCAGCTCAAGTGAAAAATCAGGTTTTCTCCAGTGATATCAGATCTGTAAAAGTGTTTCTGGTTCTGGATGCCTGATGCGAAGGAACCAAAGCCTAACTTTAGCAAATGCTGTTATGCTATTAAAAAAAAAAAAATGACACCGCTCGCTGTGCTTGTTTTGTCATGATATGAGACAAGATTTGTCACTTGTGTACTTGTTCCTTTGAGCTGCCAGGGGCTGGTGGCTCCTAAGGGAAGGAAAAGCTCCCCTGTACTTTGCATAAGAGGTTTGTTCTCTGTCTCGTTGTAGAATGCTGTTTTTACAGGATTTTAGCTTAGAGCGCTCCTCACCCTTAATGCCTGCATTCAATGCAGCCCGTGTTATCTCTTGCTGCAGTCTTTATGAACTGGTTGATCTAACTGTAGATCTGTTACTAATCTGTATTACGTTGGTCCCACCGGTGGTTTTCTGGCATAGTGCACGTTGCACAACCGGCTCCGCTCGGGAGAGCTGGTGGAATCTCACCAAGCACAAGAACGAGGGCGAGAGGGGAAGGACATGGAGCAGAGGGGCAAATCGCTAACGTGGCACCTGCCTGCTCTTTTGCACTGTCAGAAGTTTAGCAGAATCATTATTACTATTTTTTGTGATTTCTCTGCCAGGCTGCCCACTGTCCATTTGTGCACAAAGGGATGTCTATGTGCAGCCTGCATAAGATAGAGCAGCAAGATAATTTAAAGTTTTATACTTCGTGCATTCTTGAGTATTAGATTTTGATCTTCCTCATTTTTCCATTAATAACCTTTCTGAGGCAGAAATCCCACCCTGTGTAAGTAAAGTTTTGCCCGCCAGATTTTTACTTGTTCATCTGATGGCTGCAAATGAATTCACTCTATCCAAAGAAGGGCACATGGCAAGTACAAGCAGAGTGATATCGGATCACCCTGGTCTACCAGCACTTAAGAGACGGTGTGGAGATGCATTCACTTTCATTTGTTGTTTCTGACCCCTGCTAAGCTCCCTGGACTGCTTTGTCAGGAGACCCCCCACAGTGATTAACACAAAATAAAACTAGATTTAAAGAAACATCTTCCATCGTGCTGTGGGAAAGACAAAAAAGTGTGAAAGACTGACAGGCTGACCCCACAGGCATGGTATGACTAGGTAAGAGAAGCATCCAAAGCATCTCTCCAAAAGGAAAGCAGCAATCTAAATAATATACACAGCAGCTTTACTTCCTTCTGATTTTGTTTTGTTTTATTTTGTTTTGTTTTTTAGAACAAAAAAAGGAAAATATATGTATATATATGTTTTATATATAAAAAAAATAAATATATAATATGTGTATATTTTATAAAAAATGTAATAATATATATATGCTATATGTTTATATATATGTATGTTTTATATAAATACTTATATAGTTAAGATAAAAACTTAGGGTTTGAACCAGGTGTTGCCTGCTGGAGAAGTCAGGTCAATTTTCACCATGCTTGTGCACAGGATCCCACCAAAGGAGGAGAGGGATGTGTGAAGGATGTGTGCTGCCACCCCAGAGGTGGTGTAAACACAAGGAAATTTTGCTCAGTGATGGAGTCAAAGCTGCAATTTGTAGCTGTGACAGCTATTTCCTATCTCTGTGAAGGAACAGAAACATGTTATCTAACTGCTGTGGGATTTTAGAGCTGGGAATTGTTAAAACTTCTATAGATTAAATCCCTAAGGGAAAAAGAAAAGATCTTAGAAGTATTTAGTGCCCTCAATTTATGCTAGATTTACTTTGGAAGTGCTCCTCAGGAGTACATGCAAAACTTCTGTATTAGAACAGCAACAAGCTCTTGAGTGCTTATTAATGTTCATAGTCTCTGGGATAAAGCTATTCCAGCTTTAAATTCCATTAATTGTGCGGAGGACCTCCCTTTTAGATGTGAACTCGGAGATACTCATCACGCGCCCGTCTGTCGTGCCCCTTTTGCAGACTCTCAATATCGTGACGCCGCGCGTCCGGCCCGAAGACTGCAGCATCGGGCTCCTGCCGAGGAACCACGACAAGAACCGCTGCATGGACGTGCTGCCCCTGGACCGCTGCCTGCCCTTCCTCATCTCCGTGGATGGGGAATCAAGCAACTACATCAATGCTGCGCTCATGGATGTAAGCGGCACGGGAGAGTCCACGCTGCCCCTGGGTTGCATGGAGGGAATAAGGGACAGGCACGGGAGGGAAGTGGAACCAAAGCAAAGGGTATTTTTTTCCTGCAGTTTCTCAAGCTGACATCTGGAAGCAGAGCAAAGTCACATGAACTGTCACCTTCACAGAAATGCAAAAATAGGCCACGCAGACTGTGGTCACAATACTTTGTAGCTTTGCTTCACATTAGTGGAAAAATTTTGACTAAACAGCACATCAGCTTGCAGCCTGGGGTTACATCTTAGAAAAGCAGATAGATAAAGAAGTGGTAGGCCAACTCTTGCACTGATTGATGTGTAAATGAAAAGAGAAATGTTCACCAGAAGGAACTGCCAGGTGAACTTTCTGGTAAGAATAGTTTGCAGTGTGAAGAGAGCGATTTATTTCAGCTTATGCAGTTAAGACTAGAGGAGTACAAGGATGAGATGTGCAAAAAGCTTAAGGTCGGGAGGATGAGTTACACTGATATGAGTCTGTCTGAAGGCATTTCCCTTTGTGTTTATAGAATCTAGCAGGGCAGGTCATTTGTGTATGAAGAATTACATTGATGGTTTCTTTTTTACTATGATGTCTAACTGCCTTTGGACACAGATGCCAGTAAAAGCCTCTAATTATTGCGACTGGAGTATGTGTAAATATGATCTAGGGTGAAGTGTCATCATTTTCTTTCCAAGTATGGTTGAATAGGGTCAGGCTTTTTAATTGTGCTTGGTTCATCATTCTTTGGGAAACAGTGATACTCTTGTATTTAAGAGGGTTAGTCAAATGGTTGTAGAATGGATTTTAGATGTTTCTGTTCAGAAACGTTTTGATATTTTCATTACAAATGTGCCTGGCGAAACAGTTATTCTTTTTTTCTTCTTTTTTCTTTTTCTTTTTTTTTTTTTATGTGTTTTGTGCTTTGGCAAATCTGTCTGAGCACAATCAGTTCTCCTGTGATTTCTCAGGGCTTGTGAATGTGCACATTTCCATGTGCAATACTTTGAACCAGCATCACCCTTCCCTACAAAATTGCTGCCAATTAATATCCATGTATATGGAGATGTTTCACCTGTCATTGAAATTCAAACACCTATGATGTGATGTCATCTCTTAGGATGTCTCTGACATTCCTTTATCTTTTCGTAGAAGAATCATTAGCTCTTGATAAAGTCTCAACCTAAATCCCAGATCTTCCTGGGCTGTCCCTACTGGGGACAGACCTTGCAATTATTTTAAACAGAGAAGGCCCTTTGGACCTGCTTCTAGAGCCATGGAGGCTCTGGAGGAGAGAAGGTCCCTCAGAAATTGGAACACTTCATCCGAGCTTCCAGTTCAAGCTGTGTAGAAGACTGTCAATGTCTCAGTTCTGTCTAAGTCTGCAGAAGACTGAAGAGACTAAGAAACTGGCCTTTTGGGAACACCCTGAGCAGTTACTGCCTAGGAATACCAGTTAGGGAGTATCCGTGCGTGCCAACCAACACCCATTCCAGGCACTCAACTCCATCCTTCTGTTGTTCATTTGAAGAAATTTTTTAATGAATATAACAAGCAAAAGAAAAATGTATTAGTCTACACACTGTCTGGATTTGAGCAAAATCTTCTCTGGGAAATAAGGCCAAAGGGCTGCTGCTGTCCAGGGAGAACAGAAATTCTACTCAGGGGTTTTCAAGACTCCTGGCCTTTTCTCTTCACCTCCTCTGTCCCTTTCAAGTCAACAGATCTTCGGGTCTTTGCTGTGACAACCACTCAGTGTCACATTTGTGTCAGCAAAATGCCTTGTTAAGAAGAAGGGTGAAAAGCTGTTTCTGTTCTTCCCCCAAAGGAGTCCAAAATGCTTCTTAAGCAAAGGGCCTGTACCTGCATGTCTAGTTCATGCCTTGCAGAAGTTCTGGTGGGTTTTATTTATCTTGGGAAAGGTGAAAGTGTTTTCTTTCCAAGAAATGCTCTCTTACATGATGAGTTAACATCTTGGTGTGTCAATTCCTTCCCTTCAAAACAGGGCAGTGAGGCTGGCTCCTCACTTACAGCCCGCCTGTTTCTTTGCTTTATTCTTTTTTCTCCTACTGGCAAAACCTACAAACAGATAAGACCTTCAACCAACTGCTCAGCCAATTATGCAGCCTGCTAATGTGGAATGAAATAAATTAGCAGAAACATCACCATGTTCCTGACCCTATGGTTTGCTTTTGGATGGGAGGATGGAGGAGATAAGTTTCTCCATTTTATGTCCCACTCTATTGTCTGTCTTGGTATGTACAGCATAGCCTTAAATCCCTATTGGTGCTCGTAGGTTTGAAATACAGAGTAGGAAGAAAGAGGATAATTCACTGCAGATGTTTTCACAAGAGTTTTCCTCTTCCATCCCTTTATTTCATTTCCCTTCACCGTGTTTGCCCATGCACTCTCAGAAGCAAGTTGCAACCACCCTGCAAGCTGAATAGACGGGTGCAGAGCATGGGCAGCACCGTCTCATCCCCAGCATAGTCTGCTTGGCACTTCCACCCACAGATGTCTCACATGGAGGAAAAATTGCCAGCCTTAACAACTGGCATCGTGATACTTTGGGTATTTCTTTTTTCTGTATGGTAAAATCAAAATTTGCCTTTGTCTTTTACCTAGTCTGGCAGCCTGGCATTTGCTCAAGGTAGCAGCAGCCGTCGATGCCAGGCTGAGCACTGCCCTGCACGCTCTCTTGCGGCATCTGTAAATTCAGATGAGCCCGTTCAGTGGCACCATGCCACCAGGGAGCAAGAGCACATGGGGGCTAATCCCTTCTGTATTCCCGGAGTCCCTAGCAGCAGCAGGGATAACATTCTGCTTCCGGCTATTTTCTTGCTAATTATTAATATTACTACTAGTAGTGCTAGTAGTAAGAGTAGAATTAGAATTATTTGCTGAGTCTCAAAATATAAATAATTGATTTAGGTAATCTCTGCTCTTGTGACACTCCTTTAATGAAATGTCTTCATTGGGAGCAAAAGAATCCCATTATGAGACATTCATTCATTGCACAGCGATAACAAGGAGAAGGATATGTGATTTGTATAATCTGGTTAAATGGCTCAGATTGCCTCGCCGTAGCCTCCTGGGTATAATATTCTTTTGAATAAAAGTTGATTGAATTTTTTCTAAACTAATCTTGTTCTTTTGTTAGAGCCACAAGCAACCTGCTGCCTTTATTGTAACCCAGCACCCTCTGCCCAACACCATAGCAGACTTCTGGAGGCTGGTGTTTGATTATAACTGCTCCTCCGTCGTGATGCTGAATGAGATGGATGCAGCACAGGTAAGTGATTTTCTTATCATTTCTTCATGTGGCTTTCTTCTCGAATCCATTTTCTTGAGGATTAAAAAAAAAAAAGTAGCAGAGGGGAACTGGAAAGGAATAAATAAGATTTTAGGGTACAATGAAGGCTAAAATCTGGGTCCACAAGTAAAGGTGGTTGGCTCTCACTAAGGCACCTCATTCTCATAGCAATTAGCAGAGATTAGCTGTATACATATGCAGGCCTATGACTCCCTCCCAAAGCTGGTTTCTTCTTTTTCTTATTTTCCTTTTACTTTGGTTCAGAAAAATGTAATTCCTCACCCATAGCATCAGTGTCTTCATGCTTGGCCATCATTTTCCAAGATCCCAACTGTAACTGCAACAGTGCAGTCAATGTGCCACTTGCTGTGGGGTTCCAGAAGAATGGAAGCAAGAGAGATGCTGAAACTGTATTGAAGGAGCTCAAGAGCTTCCCAATTGAATTAAATAGGGTAGAGAAGTATAGTTAGTTGGTGTAGGGTCTGGAGAAGCAGATGATGCTATGTATTTTTCTTTCTGGAGTCGTGTGAGTTGAATTCTTACTGAACGCAATGTTATTTCAGAAGTAGGTCTTGCTGGATGAGGAGTAGCTCCTGTTTCTTCTGTATGAGAATTTGCAGCCACCTTGCTGATGAGTGGCAGAAGATAACAGCTTTCAAAAAAGGGTAATCATGCAATTTGTGTAAAGAGTGCATTTGGCATTGCTAATTCATCCATTACAGCACTCGTTAAGCAAGAGGAGAAGAGCCCTCAAGTACTTGGTACTTTACAGCTTAATTTTTCATTTGTCTCTTCACTGACTTCTGAATCTTACCATACTCAAAGACAGCAAGATTATTGGGACCTTTTTGTGATGGTAATGGAGAAAACAATCATGTTTTCATTGAGGGGATCTGTCTGCAGGATGAGAGCTGTGGGATTTCATTTCTTCATGGAGCTGAAGCGCTGCCTTCCAGCCCTTCTGGCTGTCCTGGTGACCAGCGCCCAAGTCCTGATGCTCCATGTGAGGAACCAGGGCCCATACATTTTGTACCACTGGTCACATTCTCCTAGGCAGCTTCTGAGTCTTGGTATTGAATCCAGATACAGATTTCATCTTTTCCTGATGCTTTAAAGAAATGCACCTTCTGGAAACCAAACACAGTTTCTCATGTTTTGCTTGGAAAACAGTTTGATACCAGCTGTGAAAATAAGGCTTCTGGACAGGAAACTCAACTGTCTTAGGAGTCACTCTATGCCCACATCATTGTTATCTACCTGTTCATCTAATCTGAACACTATGCCATAACCATTACCAAAGTGTCAGTCTGCAGTTGCATGCAAATACTGTCCTAGTGCACTCAAGTATTGTGTTCCACCCATGTGGATTTAGAGGGCGGGCTTGAAAACACCATCACAGGAAGTGCTTATATGTCTAGCTATGGCTGAAATGAAGAGTTAAATTAAATAGATAAGTAAGCCTGTAATCCACTCTGCAGTGAAAAAAGGTTCAAGTAAAACCATTTTAGAGTTCAGAGAATGTAACAGACTATTTTAGGCACTGTATAGAAGACTGCATTTGGGTAGATGGCCATTCACAGACCTTCTTTATGGAAAGCAGATTTGTAATATTAGGACAAATCTTTCCCTTCTCTTTCTGATGTGCTTTAAGGTGGTTTCCTAAAGCATCTGCACAGCTTGGATATCCTTACCTATTGGAGAAATGCTTTGAGAGGAGATCTGTAGGCTGCTTGACAGTCTGAGAGAGGAGTAAAGAAGCCTTCAAAGGAAGACTTGCTTACATGGTCTTGGCTTACTTTTTAATCTTGCAAAGCTAACAAGGGTAAAGATGCATAAGATTGCATGACTATCCTAAATTTAATCCTTATGATCAAAGGAATAATGGGAATGCAGAATTAATGCAGTGGCATGCGCACACTTGGCGTCATTACTGACTATGATTGAACTTAAATAGCTTCAGATCAAGTTCAAATGAGCATCTGGGGGTTTCAAAACTTCTTAAAATTACACTCGAAAATAGGAAGAAGAAAGCACAAAGAAATGCAATCTCAGCAGAAACTACTAATGAGATCCCATTCCTTTTTTTTCCCCACAATCTATTGCAATCTGTGTGGTTAGGATTTTCTTGTCCTTTCAATTCAGCAACATCAGCATGGGCAAAGATTGTGCATTTAAAAAAAATAATCCAGGATTGGTTGCAGATTTGAACTGGATATAAATTCAAATGGACAGAAGAGTTACTGTAAGGTTACTTGTTTACAGTTAATGTGCTCTCCCTTTTTTGTGGTATTTTCACCAGCTCTGCATGCAGTACTGGCCAGAGAAGACATCCTGCTGTTATGGCCCCATTCAAGTAGAGTTTGTTTCAGCAGACATTGATGAAGATATCATCAACCGGATATTCCGGATCTGCAACATGGCCAGGGTAAGATCGGTGAAATAGGAGTTTGCTCATTTATTCTGTAAAATATAATTTGGCTTGAATCTCTCACCCAGGAAAAGGATTCCAGTGCAAAATACTAGCTACTTGCTTTAATTAGCACTTAGTTGCATCAGTCTACATCAGTAAGATCTTTCTGGCGGAAAGCAGCAAGTGGGGGATAGAAGCTGAAAATATGCATTTAAATGGAGTGCGTTTTCTGTGTATATTTGAAAATGATTAATCACCTAGTAGCCAACATAAAAGCATAAATATTGTAGGAAATAAACTAGGATAATGTCAACTGCTCTCCATATGTCAACTACTATGCAGGATTCTTACAGTAGTTCTGTCCCTGTAGACAGATGCAGTTTCCTGGCTGGACTGGGATTCCCAGTCCAGTGTTTTCCCATAAATAAGCCACTGCCATTTCTGCAAGCAGCTTCCTGTTCTGCAGCCTGGGGGTAGCTGAAATGGTTCTCTCAAAGTTTATCTGCACACTGGGCCCAAGCAAAGCAACCTAGGGGCTGCAGTGCAAAGGATTTCGGTAGAGGATTTTTCCATAGTTTTGCCCAGATTGATTATATTCCCCCCTCCTTTTTATTTTTTTTTTTTTTTTTAATCAGAAGAGGAAACAGGCTCCAGAAATTAGATTTCCATCCTAAGCATCAGTCTCTGATTGTGGGTTAGATGTGTTAGAGTCTATGCAGTTCAGTTACACCATTACAGAATGAACCTTGTCCATTTACAGGAATGGATAAATCAGGTACACACAGACACCCTGACAGTGTCCCAGGGCAGCTGCCTGTGAGCCAGGGACAGCCCTGACAACAGGTAGCCAGTAAGACTTGGCTTCTGTGACTCCCACAGTGGAAACTAGCTGGGAAAAGCATGGATTGCAGAGTGGTTGCTGGAAATTCCTGGCTCTCTCCACCCATCTATGTTCAACAACAGCAGCTTTGCTGAAATCTTTACGAGGAGGGTTTCCTTCTGTGGTCCCCAGAGATATTTTGAGGGCAGTCTTTGCTTTTGACTCGGATGGCACAACAAAGCTGCAGTGCAGGCTACCAGGAAAGATGCATCTGACCTGTTCTTGCAGGTGAATGAGACTTCAATGATTTTAACTTCTTAAAAATGCTTTTTATTTCAGCCCCAGGACGGATACCGCATCGTTCAGCACCTGCAGTACATCGGCTGGCCGGCATACAGGGACACCCCTCCTTCCAAACGCTCCCTCCTGAAGGTGGTCAGAAGGTTGGAGAAGTGGCAGGAACAGTACGATGGGAGGGACGGACGCACTGTTGTCCACTGCCTGTGAGTCTGACAGGAAAATTTGTGTGACTTTGTGAGCCCTGGCTGATGAGCGCTGATTATAGATCTGGAGATCTGGTAGGCTGCCAGGCTTCCGCTGGGGAAAATGAAGTTTAAATTACATTTGCAATACAATTCAAGTTGAATATTGTGCTACAGCCTCGCTTCCTGGCCCAGGAACTTACTAAGCATAATGAGGAGTAGCCGAAAAGACTCTGTTGCTTTGTGTCGAGTAAAGGGGGATTTTAACCTTGTGCTTGCAGCCCAGACCTGCAGAAACAGCAGCGCCAAGTGCCCAGCTCTGCTCACAAGGCTCCTCATGCTTGTGTGGCCAGCTCAGGGGGAGCAGCACTGCGGTTGTGGGGCTGTCTGCTCTCACCAGGGATCAACCTGTCGCTTCCATCCCCAACTTGTACTGCTGTCCATTTCTTCCATTGCTTAGTCCTTGGCCAACTTTACCCATTGCCTCTTTCCTTCTGCACCTAGGAATGGCGGGGGACGCAGCGGCACCTTCTGTGCCATCTGCAGCGTGTGTGAAATGATCCAACAGCAGAATATCATCGACGTGTTCCACATAGTGAAGACGTTGCGGAATAACAAATCCAACATGGTGGAGTCGCTGGTAAGCTTGGTTCCTGTGCCTCACGCACCCAGGGTGTGCCCAGGGGGTGTAGGATAGCAACAGAGCTTCCTGGCTTAGCTCTGTCAAAAGCAATCTTCATTTAATGCCCTCAGAATTAACACCAATCCTGTTGTTAGCACACACAGTGGGTTCTCCTCCTTCTCCTCTTGAGACGAGGGGTTAGGGTCTCCTGCATCCAGCTGCCTCCAGGGGCCTAAAGCCCCCAGTTGCCTCCCCGATGCAATGGGGAGGGAGAGAGGGAAGGGAGTAATCCCCGTTGTCCAGGGCTGAGTGCGCCTACATGCCTCGAATCTGGGAAGGGAGAAGAGCCCAAACCCAGGGCTTTGCTCCCTGTAAGTGAAGAGATTAAACTGTCCTGAATTAGAGCATCTCAATTGATCAAACTGAGTTCTTGCCTCAAAAGCAATGCGTGCAATGAGGGCATGAAGGAGATAACGAATGGCCCATGTCATGCCTGCCTCTTTGGGTATTCTCCCTTTCGTTGACTGTAAATCTCTTAGTCGTGTGCATCCAGGATCCCCATGAAATACAATTAATGTTTGTCTGCTCCTGCCAAATGGTATCAGTGAGGGAGAGGCGGGGGGTTTGGGCAGCTTGTCCAGCGAGGCTCTGCAAGAGTTGACCCGTGTCCTCCTGCCACGACTTTCTGCTCTCTCCTCAGGAACAGTATAGATTTGTATACGAAGTTGCACTGGAATACTTGAGTTCCTTCTAGCCGAGCGGAGGGTGAGGAGTCTCCGGAAGGCCGGAGCCCGTCTCGGACAGACGCTCTCTTCCCTCTGCCATGCTTGAGGGCAGTGACAAGTGCGGGAAGGAAAAACTCTCCTGCTGGAGCCGGAGCCTGGGGCTGCGCAGAGCTCGGTGCCCGCGGGACGAGACGATGCTGTGTTTGCTGCTGCCTGCTTTCTACCGGAGCCTCCGCCGCTTCTCAATACCCCACTGTACAAATCAGCAACTGGGAGACGGGCTGCAAGACTGGACTTTGTAATCCCCTCTGACTTCTCTCCTCTTTTGGATTGTATTTTTGTTCTCTTCGCTACAGTGTGGAGACAGAATGAAACCTCGAGGAAACTCTGTCTTTTAAATGTCTCCTTTTTAACTTATGATTTTCTTCTCAAACCCCCGTCTTTAAATTTTGAATTTCATGCAGCAGTGATCTGGGAAAAAAATGAGATATAGCCATAGGGGATATATGAAACTTTTCATCACAATTTGTCTGCCATCCCGACTGGGGGGCGAGGGGAGGTGGGGGTTCTGTTTTCTTTTGTTTTTCCAACACCAAAAAAAAAAAAGCTGAAATTCTCTTCCTATATCCAGTTCTTTTTAGCATGAAAATAGACAGCAGAAATGAGAAGCTGTTCATGTATTTGCTGCCTCGGCTTCTGCACAAATGTCTCCTCCCAGTTTCTGCTGGACTCCCAGGGCTGTGCGCAGGCTGGTTACATCTCTCCAGTCCATGTTCTTTTCAGTGCTGACAAAGCATTATCATTAAAAGACTTTCACAGCCATTTAACTCTTAAAATTAAACATTTACATCAAACCAATTGCATTTGGCTTGCAACTTTTGGTAACTTTGTTACCGTATTTTTGAAGAATTTGCTAGGGTGCAGTGTGTCTTTAAAAAAAAAAAAAAAAAGATATAAAGTCAGTATTTATTGATCGTATATTACGTATAGTTATTTTTTATTTATTCTTTGTATTGCTGTAGAACTTAGAAACCCTAGTCACTACAGAAGCCAATTGAACTAGGGCATTGTGCAAACAAAGAACAAAGAAAATTCCTGGTCACAGAGCTTAAAAATCTGAAGGTAATCTTAAAATTGTGTTTCATCATGATTTCTTCCCTCTTTCCTAACTGTTGTACTGTCAGATGTAACTGAGCAATTTATCCAGATTTCCAGGCCTTGCAAACTTAAAAGCAGTAACCCATCCAAGCTGTAGGAAAGGTAATGTACGTACACAGAAATCTAGAGTGACGTGCGTTAAGAAATGCATTAAACCAGCACAGCAACTTTCCATCCTAAGCAAAACAGCTTTTGTTTTCTTCTGCAGAGGTGCCTGTGCAAGTCTATTTTTTCGAAAGAAACAGCAGATGTGTTTTGCCACGGTTCTGGATCTTAATCTGGTTTCTTTACAGCTAAGAAATTGCTTTTCCAAAAGAGTATATGTAAGTAGTTAATCATTAAGGTCTGCAGGGTAATCTTCCCCCAAAAAGAAAAAAGAAAACTTAAATGAACAAGTGTAACATTCAGTGTTTCAGTTTAGCCATTCATTTATACAGAGGGTGCGGGAATATGATGTTGCTGTCTATGTAAATCCGATCCTGGCAGAGGTAGGTTCCTTCATAAGCATTATTTCTCTAAAAGCTAGACTGAATGTGAGAGTTGAAGAAAATTCCACTTTCTGACCATTCTGTAGTTTTCTGCTCTCAGGTAAATACTCAGAGACTGTGCCATGAGCTCTGGAGCTCTGTCATGTCCATGTCAGAAATAGAGAATGTCAGAAGAGCCAAAAAGGTAATGATTCTGTTGTCATTCTTTTTCTTTTTTTTTCTCTCTCTCTTTTTTTTTTTTTTTAAGTAGTCATACCTTCACCTTGACAGTGAAGGAGGAGAAAGGAGGAGAAATTACCAAATTTTATGAAAACAACTCTTAACATAAACATACATGTACCTAACTGAAAAGTTGTTATCTCCTCAAAGACCTGCAAAAAATCTAAGAGCTGCTGGGTACTTGCAAGCAGAACAGGAAAGTAAAAGACAAAGCAACAGTGTGACATAAAAAAGAAAAGGGAGGTAAAATAGTGCTTAGATTAGAGGCATCTTGCTGTAACAGTGTAGTTCAGTAGTCAGGTGCTGGTTGCAGAGAAGAGGGGAGTCAGCACTGATCCCAGAGCAGAATTTTTCAACAACTGTCTAAGCAAAAAGCTGCAGGTCAGCAAGGTGTATCCTGAGTTCCTGCAGTCCAGAAAGAGGGAATCAGCCTGTTTTCCAAATCCCTATCACCCCTCTAAAGAAAATGGGCTGTGTGCTTTGAGATGGTTGTCATGGCCAGGCAGTCTCCTCTTTAAGTTGTTTCTGGGCTATATGCTTTTTGGTGATGTTCTCCACTTTTTTTTAAATAACAGGAGTCTTCCTAAGTGTCTCTCAGTATTGTCAAAATATGCCTAGAAATGACCCAAGTTAATTGGATGCTATGAAGATATGAACTGGTATTTAGCTCTGTGATAATTTTACATGCAAGGTAACAATGCAGTAGTAAGAGGTTTGTCTCATGAATTATTGCAAGATTAGCTAAAGCAGTGAGGTGTAACAGCAAGGCCAAAAGGAATGTAGAGGTAGAAGAAATGACAATATGACTGAAGTGTGAATGTAGGAGGGTAGTTCTAGGCTTAAGAGTAGCATGAAATGAAGTGGATTAAAAAAAACAGAAGAGTATATGTGGAACAGATGTGCATGGAGTGAACCAAGTGTCAGAAGAACAGAAGAGAATAGCATCACAGTGGAGTGGTTTATGGTTTGAGGTAGATTTCAGTATGTTTTCATGGTATGAAAAATGCTGTAAAAGGATCAGGCTGTATCAGCCGACCCACAGCAACTTGCCATGAGTTGTCTTAGCGTGAACTTCAGTGCAAGGTGGTTAAGCCAAATTTTATCTTGTGTTTGTAATGAATAATACAGATGTTGGTTAGCACAGCCCAGCTGATGGACAGAAGGATTTTTTTTTTTTTTGCTGAGCAAACCCCACAGGGTTGGTTGTCCATAGCCCCACACTGCTGTGTTGGCATGGACTTGGCTGCTTTCAGGGGCCTGGCCCTGCTCTGTGTTGGCCGAGGGATCTTTATGCTGTTCATCACCACACAGTGTGTATGTATATGCTGTGCCTGAAATAACGATGAAGGAAACTGTGTGGAAAAATGTGGAAAAAGAAAAGAACCTCATTTAAAGTAACCTATGAGGTTATTTAAACCATAGAGAACAGCATATAGCACAAAAAATAATGTGTCCAAAGCAGGGTTATGGGCATTGGATTTGTTTTCAATGGGAGAGAGAGAGATGTGAGTGGAGATAAAGAAGACATCTCCTGCAAGGATTAGTAACTAATGGAGAGTATAGTTGATAGAAGAGATTGAATTTAAACAGGGAAAATATGCTATTGACAATATATTATCGTTCATAATGAAGACAGATTTACTCCTGTTCAGATATCTCCAGGATCAATGGACCATTGTTTATTAGTGGTCCATTTAGACTAGTATTGGTCTAAATTCTAATCTAAAATTCAGAGAGTTAGAAGTAAATAAAGAAGGGTGGCAGGGAACAAAGGGTGACTAACATCTTAAATTATTAAGGAATGTAACTGAAGCAAAAAACTCCAGAAATACCTAGAGTGGCTGCTGGAGAAGGAAGACCCTGAGTTGTCTACAGGAGAGATAGAGACCCAAAGCCCTAAAAGGTACAGTAGGCTTGACAATTGTTTCAATTTCTTTGTTTCTTTTTTATTCTTTTAGTTAATAGCTCTTCAGCAGCTGTGTCATATGATGGCACCTCCCCACACCCTACTCCCCAAAATGGTCTGTAAGGAGAAGGTATCTGACCTCTCATGTATATGGACTTGAGGCACTGGCTCATGCTTTCCCTCAATCCAAGCCCGCGTATTGTCTGGATGACAAAGCCCAAAGTAGGGACCAGCTGACAGTTAAACAGCAATTTCTCAGTTACAGTCACCTTTTGGCCCTGATCCAAGCCTCTATTACTGGATCCCATCACTCTTGGCCAGTACCCTGCCCACATGCACAGTTGAAGAGAATGTCCACCGAGTTCCCCAGAGTGGATGGGGATTTGGGGAAATGCCCATGATCCTTAATTAGTTTCATCCATGTAGCTCTTTGGGAAAGGAAAGAAGATTGGAAGGTGCAACTTCAACCAAATGAAGCACAAGTTTGTATGTCAGGAGCTTCCGAATTTTTATTTTGGATGTGAAAAACTTTATATATATATAAAAAAAAGCAAAGCCTAGTGGCAATGCAGACCCACAATAGCAGATTTAAGCCTGCAGATGTTTAGACTGTTTTTTTTATTATTATTATTTATTTACTTTTCACAGGCCTTTTAGAAGTAGTTTAGGGGATTTCCCCTGGGAATCCACAGACCCTGGATTTCTGGTCACTGCTCTTGATGTCCTGTAGAGTCAGGCAAAGGAAACAGGCTCCTCCAGAAAGTGCTTCAGAGGCAGTTAATACTAATTGCCATGTAGAAGAGAAGGAAAGGAGAAGAAATCTCCTTTGGGAGAAAAGCAAACATTGCCGGAGAAGGCAGATTAAATGGAGCCCCAAAACAGGTAGGAAACTTGCACGTTGTTCCACTTCTTATTCTCGAACAGAGCTACTACTTCTATATCTCTTATTTTTCCAAGTTTATGCCAAGATCATAGAAGCAGGTAATACTACATTCCACTTGTGGACTCTCTGGAGACCAAACAGGCAGTATAACAGCAGGGATAAATCCTGGGGGACAAACATTTAAAAAAAAAAAAATCTTGCTTGAGAGACAAATCTTCAAATATGAGGCGTCTTTACCAGTCGCAGTTGCAGAATTTGTCACAAGTCATCAGAGCAATGTACAGGTCTGAGATTCCCATCCAAACAAAAGAAGGGAAATTTAGTCCTCAGCAAACTTTATTGTCCCATAATCGGTTTAAATTAGTGTATTGCATTATAGCACAACTGGCTTTGAAATACCTGGTCATTTCAAGGGGTATCTCAAGAGCTTGATGTGAGC